TTGTAGCTTCCTAGGAAAGAGCCGAACAAAGTTTGAGAATGAAAATGACCTTGACCTTCTTTTAAGGTCACATGAGGCAGATATGTCAAACACTTTAAACGACTTCTTCTGAAGAACTGGTAGTTATAAAATCTTAATATTTGGCAGGTGGCTTCCTGGGAAAGAGCCAAACAAAGTTTGCGAATGAAAATGACCTTGACCTACTTTCAAGGTCACAGCGTTCAAATATGTCAAACAGTTCAAACAGCTTCTTCTGAAGAATTAAAAGGCATAAAATTATAATATTTGGCTGGTGACTTCCCGGGATAGAGCTCACCAAAGTTTGCAAATGAAAATGACCTCAACCTACTTTAGAGGTCACAGAGGTCAACAACATTTTAATGGATTTGTTCTTGAGAACTAAAAGGAATGGATTCATAAGATTTGGCTGGTAGCTTTTTGGAATAGAGCTAACCAATTTGAGAAGGAAAATGACATTGACCTACTTACAAGATCACAGGGGAGAATATGTCATCAACTTCTGAAGAAGAATCAAAAAGCATAGAATCTTATAATAATATTTTGCTGGTAGTTTCAACAGATGGAGCCAACAAAGTTTGCGAGGGAAATATTTTTAGTGCAATATAATATTTAATGAGAATATTTTGCTATGACTGCTTAAATATTCAGGTGAGCGATACAGGCCCTCTTGGGCCTCTTGTTTAGTCACAGCTTGGAAACAGTTGAGATCCCCACCCTACCATATATACAATTGCTGAGTATAAAGAGATGAATGCACATATCCTTCCAGGATGGTCTTGGGGTCTGCTTCACCCTTGGAGACTTAACCCCTGGGTAATAACTTTGAAATGGTTAAGATCCCCACCCCAAAACTATATATACAAATGCTGTTGGGCATATAGAGACGAATGCATTCATGATATTAGAATTTATCCCCGGGTCTGCCCCATCCTTGCAGACTTAACCCCTGGGTCATAACTTTGAAACCGTTGAGATCCCCACCCCAAAACTATAATTACGAATGCTGGGCAAAAAGAGACAAATGAAGTCATGATATTAGAATTGATCCTGGGGTCTGGCCACAACCCTAGGGACCTAGTTTCTGAGTCACAGCTTGGAAACAGTTGAGATCCCCACCCCATAACCATACATAAAATTGCTGGGCATTAAAAATCTAATACAGATATGCTGTGTCAGGATTGGTCTTGGGGTCTGGCATATTCCCTTGGATCACATTTGGAGAATATTTTGCCATGATTGCTTAGATATCCAGGTGAGCGATACAGGCCGTCTGGGTCTCTTGTAATTTCTTTATCTCCGATCGTGTATCCAAGTGTTTTTCCTTATTTTGAACTATAATGTTTATGAAAAGCAGTTGATTAACCATAAATAAATTTGATTGTTTTCAGGTAACATCCTGTACCTTGAAGACTGTGATCAGCCAGAGAGGAAAATGACATTCATTGACTGGGAATACTGTAGCTATAATTACAGGTGATATATTATTTGTTGACTGGGAGTACTGTAGCTATAATTACAGGTGATATATTGTTTATTGACTGGGAGTATTGTAGCTATAATTAAAGGTGATATATTGTTTATTAACTGGGAGTACTGTAGCTATAATTACAGGTGATATATTGTTTATTGACTGGGAGTATTGTAGCTATAATTACAGGTGATATATTATTTGTTGACTGGGAGTACGGTAGCTATAATTACAGGTGATATATTGTTTATTGACTGGGAGTACTGTAGCTATAATTACAGTTGATATATTGTTTGTTGACTGGGAGTACTGTACCTATAATTACAGGTGATATATTGTTTGTTGACTGGGAGAACTGTAGCTATAATTACAGGTGATATATTGTTTATTGACTGGGAATACTGTAGCTATAATTACAGGTGATATATTGTTTATTGAATGGGAGTACTGTAGCTATAATTACAGGTGATATATTGTTTTTTGACTGGGATTACTGTAGCTATAATTACAGGTGATATATTGTTTGTGGACTGGGAGTACTGTAGATATAATTACAGGTGATATATTGTTTATTGACTGGGAGTACTGTAGCTATAATTACAGGTAATATATTGTTCATTGACTTGGAGTATTGTAGCTATAATTACAGGTGATATATTGTTTGTTGACTGGGAGTACTGTAGCTATAATTACAGGTGATATATGGTATGTTGACTGGGAATACTGTAGCTATAATTACAGGTGATATATTGTTTATTGACTGGGAATACTTTAGCTATAATTACAGGTGATATATTGGTTATTGACTGGGAGTACTGTAGCTATAATTACAGGTGATATATTGTTTGTTGACTGGGAGTACTATAGCTATAATTACAGTTGATATATTGTTTATTGAATGAGAGTATTGTAGCTATAATTACAGGTGATATATTATTTGTTGACTGGGAGTACTGTAGCTATAATTACAGTTGATATATTGTTTATTGACTGAGAGTATTGTAGCTATAATTACAGGTGATATATTGTTTATTGACTGGGAGTACTGTAGCTATAATTACAGGTGATATATTGTTTGTTGACTGGGAGTACTATAGCTATAATTACAGGTGATATATTGTTTATTGACTTGGAGTATTGTAGCTGTAATTACAGGTGATATATTGTTTGTTGACTGGGAGAACTGTAGCTATAATTACAGGTGATATATTGTTTATTGACTTGGAGTATTGTAGCTGTAATTACAGGTGATATATTGTTTGTTGACTGGGAGAACTGTAGCTATAATTACAGGTGATATATTGTTTGTTGACTGGGAGTACTATAGCTATAATTACAGGTGATATATTGTTTATTGACTTGGAGTATTGTAGCTATAATTTCAGGTGATATATTGTTTGTTGACTGGGAGTACTATAGCTATAATTACAGGTGATATATTGTTTATTGACTGGGAGTATTATAGCTATAATTACATGTGATATATTGTTGATAAAATTCAAAAGCCCTTTATTATCCAACCCCATAAATCTATGCAGGTTAAAGCTCAGGACATTAAAGTATACAATATAAACAGCACTTAAAGCAAACTAAAATTAATTGTGTTAAAAGCAGTACAAAAAACTTCAACGTGTCCAAAAATTGTACATAACAAATATTATTTACACTAAAAATATCCTCCAATGTCAATATCTTTAGGGGTAATATTTAGGGCATAAAACTTGTATGAACTGTTTTTAAATAAGCCTCCAGGATATTACCTTGTATATTTAGGGCTCTCAAAAATACTATTGTCAGGGATTAATGCAGGAATAGAAACTTTTTTCAAAATAAGGGAAAATATGAAGGGGAGCATGAATGACATCTTTAATTTTTCGTTCTCCCTGTCAATTATGGACCATTCGAATTATATACTGTAAACAAGGCCAGCCATTAACAGGGTCCTAAAACATCAGCTGTGAAAACGTGAACACAGGAAATAATAAAAATAAATCACTCTGTCGTCTAACTGACTGAAAATAAAACACAATAGAACCATGACAGATATTTATGTGGTAGTATTAATATTTCAGTTACATGTGGGGGAATTTTTAACTGAAAAAGGGGGGGAAATGCGAAAATTGGAGAGGAAAATTGGCCCATAATCGCCCATAATAGGGCCTGTATATTTCCATGATGGAGTGATAAAATGCAATTATCCTAAAAATCAAAGGTGGAAAAACTATGCAGTTAAAGTCTGCTCAGCACTACTTTAGAAATAACGTACACTTATTATCAAACAAGTTCCCTTTTTTCGGTCTGATTTTGGAAGGTAAAGCATGTGTTTTCATGTTAACACAGCCATTACTGGGACCCCCTAGTATAGTGATAGAAATCAGGATTTGTAGATCAGGAGCTCATTTTATCGGAATATTTACATGAAGGGAATTATGTGATATAAGACAGTATCTATATGATGTGGTGAATCACTAATGTGTTTACATGTATGTCGCCTGGTATGGGTGACATATGCTAGCAACACAGTGCACCACTGATCTCTTCTGTCTGCACTGTTCCGCAACAGTGGTCTTGTGTTATACTTGATATATCATGTGTGTAGTTCGATTCTGCTTATGTATGCATTTATATATATAATTATAGCAACTAACATCAGAGTTGAAGTGCTGATGTTATACAGTACATTATTATTGTATGACATTTGATATAATTACATGTACTATATATATATGCATAGATACATTTGTGATTGCTTGTGTTATAGTGATCAAATGTAATATATCCTGACAACAACTGTTGCAGTTGTGTATATATATAACACAGTGTCGGTACTATAGCCTGCCTTTATTACAATTGGGTATAAAGCAGGCAATGATATTGATATTGTTTGTGAATCTAAGCCATTTGAAGTATAATAAATTTCTTCTAATTAGCATTTAATGAGAACAGAATTAACACAAGCACTGTACAAATTGTTTACTACAATGCACATAATACTTGTGTACTAGAGATATCTCCCTTTTGATCTAAGTGCCAGTAGTTAAATATAACCCCCGTCCCCGTCCCCATNTCCAACTCCTCCAAAACTATGGGACCAATTTCAACGAAAGTTTTCAGATATGATAACTACCACCTGATATTGTGCATCTAGATATAATTTTTCATTCTTGCCCTTTTTTATGGAGTTATTGCCCTTTGTTGAGAAACCCTTGCCCGGCCAACTTTTCTTAAACTACTGGGCCAATTTCAGTGAAAGTTTTCCAATATGATAACTACCACCTGATGTTGTACATGTGCATTCAGGTTTTATTTGTTCAATCTGACCCTTTTTTATGTTCAAAATGGCCCTTTGTTGAAAAGTGTACATATATGGTAACAGCCCCATTGTTGTGCATCCAAGTAGTACTTTTTCATTCTGAGCCTTTTAAAAGGAGTTATGGTCCTTTGTTGAAAAAAACCTTGGTCTCCTCAACTACTGGTCCGATTTCAATGAAAGTTTACAGATATGGTAGTTACCCCCTGATGTCGTGCATCAGGGTGTTATTTTCATTTCAACCCTTATTTAAGGAGCTATGGCCTTTGTTAAAAATCTTTTTCCTGACAACGTTACCTTAACTACTAGGACGATTTCAACAAAACTGGCTCATCTGGGCTAACAAGATATAGTTTGCAAGTATGTTTTGCCATTTGGAGGGAGGGAGTACAGAAAGTATGTCAGTGACCTATATACTTAAATAAGTGTACAGCTCAGTGAATAAAGAAATCATTACTGGTGGGAGACTATGGATTGCTTTGCAATGCTTTACCTTAATTAGCCAGGCTATTAGCTTACAGTTAAGGTTTATATAGGAAATTAATTAAATAGTATGAAACTACTATCACTAAAACTTATAAACATCTGTAACAGTAATGATGTATGATCTGGTTTTTGTGGACATCTTACTTACAGAGGTCAGTGTAAAATGTAATAATGGATTATAATTAACACTCAGTGTGTTTATAATTATACATAAAGTACATGTAACAACAGGTACATGTAGTAGATCAGCTTCTATATTCAACACATTCCTGAATGTCGAGAAATGACATTTTAATTAATTTTCTGTAAAAAAATTGCTTTTAGATTCTTTCATGCTATTAGGTGTACAGGATAGGAAAATTCTCTGCAAAGGGGGGTTTCAATTTGGTGAAACCCAAGGCTTGCTGAGGGTTTCACACTATTTTGAATATCCTGGGAGTAGAATTTCTCTATCCTACACCACTAGACTAGAAAAGGTAGTACAGTATTCTCTCATTTCAATCACTAGAATTAGCGAAGAAACCATGAAAAGGCATCTCAGTGAGTTTCTACATTGTGGTGTCTGAGTGGTCTAGAGTTGGTGATGTCACACAGTTTTGTCCCATTGTGACATGCACATATTACCATATGTTCATGACTATACCAGTATATATGTTAAATTGACAATCTAATACTTCAGTGTCAAAAAAACATTAGAATTATTTATCTTTTCCACATCTGCTCTGGAGTGCCTTATCAGCCTATCATGGGATAACTTGATCTTTCAAAAATTTCAAATGCCTTTAACAGAACTTATACCATGAGTCTATGATGTCACACAGTTTTGTCCCATTGCGACATGCACATAATTACCATACCTTCATGACTATACCGGTATACATGTATATGTTAATTTGACAATCTAACACTTCAGTGTCAAAAACATTAGAATCATTTATCTTTTCCACATCTGCTCTGCTCAGCCTATCATGGGATAACTTAATCTTTCAAAAAGGTGGGGTCAACATTTGGCCCCCACTTTGATTTCCTTTATTCTTTAGCCATATGTAGATACATAAAAATTATCAATAACTGCATAAATGATTATTCATAATTATTACTGATAACCGTAGTGGACCTCCTTGCATAACACCAGGTTGAGTGATGGGGGTACCCTAACAAAATGATAGATAAATGTCACAGGCGAAAGCAATTTTGAACATGAATTATGAAAGTGTACAGTGTATACAATTACTGTTATTTTGATACTAAATATGTCATATTGGTATATATGGAGTAAGCTTATAGTGATACTTTTATTTAGAAAAACATGCAAAATTTTCACAAAATTTAAAATATAATCAACATTGTGAACTTGCCTATATATAGTTACAGTGGTAGTCCATATTTTAAACTTCTTTAAAATCTTTCCATATATGTATTTAGTCTATTGAATCATTTTTATGCAATATAAAAAACGGTAAAGTACTTTATTAGTATGCCAAACATGATCAATGCCCAATTTCACATAATCCTGAAGATTTGATTATCAATGTTTATTATTTTCTGTTTTTGTATCATACCAAAACACTTTATTATATTATGCATGTTTAAAAGTTATGTGCAGCAGTTATAACTCATTAAAATGTATTCTGCCAAAGTAATCTTTCTTCTGGAGAGCTACTTAAGGTTGAGATTGTGTTATAGACAACGATATGCATTTATATAAAAATAATCAAATAATCTTAATAGTAAAACTATTATACACTTTATTATACCCCCTGCAACAAAATAAGGCGGTATACTGGAATCAGCTTGTGTCTGTCTGTAGAAAAAAAAATTGTCCGGAAAACCCCTTCTAAAGTAATGGACCAATTTTAGCGAAAGTGTCCAGATATGATAACTACCACCTCAAGTTATGCATACAGGTATTATGTTTTCATTCTGATCCTTTTTTTTACAGAGTTATGGGCCTTTTTATGATTTTTTTTTGTCCAGACATGTCCTCCAAAAGTAAGGGGTCAATTTCAATGAAAGTTTTCACATATAATAACTTCCACCTGATTGTGTGCATCCAGGTATTATTGTTTTTCAATATGACCCTTTTTAACGGAGTAATGGCCCTTTGTTGAAAATACTTGTCCTGACAACTCCTCCAAAACTATACAGCCAATATCAACAAAAGTTTACAGATATGGCAACTGCCCCCCTGACATAGTGCATCCAAATAGTATGTTTCATTCAGAACCTTTAAAAGGGAATTATGGCCCTTTGTTGAAAAAGAACCTTTGTCTGCATCATTAACTACTGGGCTGATTTCAATGAATGTTTACAGATATGGTAATTACCCCCTGATGTCGTACTTTTTTCATTTCAACCCTTTTTAAGGAGTTATGGCCCTTTGTTCAAAATCTTTGTCTTGACAACTCTTCCTTAACTACTAGGACGACTTAAGCAAAATTGGTTCATCGGGGCTAACAAGATTTGGTATGGAAGTAATTTTTGGCATGGGGAGGGCGTACAGGAAGTATGAATGTGACATATATTCTTAAATATTTTACTGGGGGGGGGGGACTGTGTATCGTAATGCTTTGCCTTATTTAACCTTTAGCTTACATTCTGGGTTATATAGGAGTGGGGGTACTTTTGGTCATGAAGAAACACAAGTTAAAGGAAAAATGGAAAGAAAGTTATGTATTTCTTTTTTTGAATCAAAAGTGTTGTATGACAAATTTACCGGTTGTCAATTTTCTTGAAATTCCTGATGTTGAAAGATATTATTGGTAGCCAACTTTTAAGCAATTATGAAATATAGACTGGTTTTAGAACTATGCAAATTAACGTGTCGAAAATGGAAATTTTCTCATTAGTAATGAAATTTCACACACTTTTCTGCTTAAATCTTCAATAAAAAGAACAATTCTTTCTTGAAATAGTTTAATATTCGGTATCAAAATGAAGGTTGGAATATGTTGCACACGATGATGATATAATTTTATAATAATTATTTTATTTAAATGCTCTAGGAGGAATTGTGTTACCGCACCTTTAACACCCACACAGGTGTAAGTCAATGAGGTCCCATTTATCCTAAAATGAATTCTGAAACTAACGGTTCCTTATTTAAGCTTCCTATACCCATACCTTTTTGTAGTTATCTTGTTTTTAAATTCAAAGCGGGGGCCGATGCCAATGTTAAATCTCCATAGGCGTTGACCCCACCTTTCAAATGCCTTTAACAGAACTTATACCATGAGTCTATTTGTTCTGTAGCTTGCTGGAGCGAGGCATTATCAAACTTTATTAAATGAATGACTGTTGCCAACTTTGAAGATCACAGGGGTCAATTATTTTGGAAATGGTGGGCAATGAAGGTCCTTAGACCTTACTTATAAAATGTCACCTTTGGACTTTACTCCAACAGTGTTAGAGGTTTAATTACATGGTGAGATACAATTGACGCAGTCGGCAAAATCATATCAGCGGCCTCTTATGTTATAGCAGTACTTTGGACTTATTGCATGTTAATGCAAGGGAAATAACTCTGATACATTGATTTTATTTTTTACAGAGGGTTTGACTTTGGAAACCACTTCTGTGAATGGTGCTATGACTACTCTCATCCAGATTTTCCATTCTTCTCCTACACAAAGGATTACTATCCCTCAAAGGCTCAGCAGGTAGGTTGGCTTATTGTTCAACAATATTAAGTTTTCTTATAAAGTAATCTTCAATATGTAAAATTTAGAAGACCAGAAGAATTATTCTTCAAGATATGCAGAGTGTTCAGGATAGTTGGGCAGTAGCTTGTAGGGGTTTATTGTAGGCCAATCAAACAAAAGGTATCATGAAATAACCCTATAAAATTGTTCATGTATAAATACATTGCTGAAAACTTATCAAGAAATGACTTACTTATCAAATAAAAATGACTGCATGTTGATAGGTCTATTTTCAAATACCCCTCAAAATTATGACAGGACATTTCATTTCTTGCAACAGTTGTGTGACCGCACAATGCACCAAAAATACTGTGCGCACACCGTGCATACATCATTCACACACCGTCCACACTTCGTCCACACATGGTGCGCACAACTGGGCGATTTAACAATCATTCGCTTCATTGTGCGCTTCTCTCCGCACAACTGTGCGTTTTGGTACAATTTGTTGATCAATTTTACGGAATGAAAAAAAAATGGAAGGCTCGTATGCAATAATGTACGCTTTATTTATTATTACAATAATTAAGATTATGTACAATTTTACAATGCATGTAACACAGTATTACAGTGACCGTTAGACTGTCAATTATGGATTTAGCTCATAGCTAGGTAACAGAACAGGTAAATAACAATTTAATGAGTGACCGGAGTTTTACCTGGCCTGTGGCTGACAGGAAGAGCTGATTTGTGATACCGTTATGAAAACACAACTGGACGTTTAGTATTTGTTATTTGCATTCGTTTTAATCTAAAGCTCCCCTTCACCTGGTTTTCACACCTTGGCGAGTTACGTAAGTTTCCCGGGCGGGGGGAAAATACGGTCCAGGTACAAAGTGGCTATGTTTACCTGTGTTGCCGAGACTGTGTTGTAATTTTACATGTGATGATTAAGGTCGTTTAAGAAACACCGCAAACGCCATTTCTAAATTTAAGAAAGTTGAAGCTTCATGTAGAATAAGGAAACATACTAAGAAAATCAAATTATTTTGTTTAAACACAAAACCGTATATATTGTTAAGCCATTCCTCAATTTACACCAACTGAGACTGTTATCGCACAACGTTCGTCGATCGTCCACCACAAATTTGCGCAAGCAATGATTATCCAATTTGTTATCGTTCGCACTTCGTGCACACATAGTTCACACACTGTGCAAACTTCATGCGCACACCACACATCGTGTAACGTTGTGTGATCCCACAACTGTACTAGGATATACCCTGGGATCTTGCCCCATCCTTTGGGACTTACTTACCAGGTATAAACAACATTGAAACAGTTGAGATAACTACCCTATAACCACACATAAGATTGCTTGTCACTAAGAAACACTAAAACACTCTCAAGTCCTTGGTGTATTGCTCACCCATGAGGATTAAGGTTTTGTTAAACATTATATTTCTTGTACTCTTACGACAAACAAGCTTGAGGTTACTACAAACCTGCAATTGCAGGGTTAGTTTGGGGGACTATGTAACAGTCTCTCTCACACATACAACCTAGCTGTTTTGTATCAGGTACCTGTAATTTAAATAGGTATTCAAGAAATTAGTAAAGTAAAACATCACCAGTGTATGTGCATAACTTAAAAATAAAATAAAGAGCGTTTTGAGGGAGAATTGTAAATAGCTGTCACTGGTAAAATAAAACGTTTGCTGACATTTCTTCTTTCATTCCAGTACACTTTTTTCCGTCATTACCTATCGCAGCAGTCGGATGTGGAGCCGACAGAAGAGTACCTAAAGGGCATGTACAAGGAGGCCAATACATTTGCTCTTGCCTCACACTTCTTTTGGGCACTATGGTCCATCATACAGAGAGATCTGTCAGAGATAGAGTTTGGATATCTGGTGAGTATCCTTAGGCCAAGGGGACTCAATTTTGTATAAACAGTGGGTGTGGCCCCCCTGGGGGCAGAGGGGGGGGGGGGCCCAATAGGGCAATTAGAGGTAAAACATTGAAAATCCTTCTTCTACCGTACAGATTCAGGAATTTTATCCTAATTTAGTCTGGAGAATCCTTGGGCCAAGGGAACTCAATTTGTATAAATGATGGGTGTGGCCCCCTGGGGGCTGAGGGGTAGGGCCCAATGGGGGAAATATAGCAAATTCTTTAAAATCCCTCTTCTTCTGTAGGAATGAAAGGATTTGTTCCATATTTGGTTTGGAGCATCCTTGGGTAAAGGGGAACCAATTTGGTATAAATGGCGGGTCTGGCCCCCCTGGGGGCTGAGGGGCGGGGCCTAATAGGGGAAATATAGCAAATTCTTTAATATTCTTCTTCTGTAGGAATAAAAGGATTTGTTCCATATTTGGTCTGAAGCATCCTTGGGTAAAGGGGAACCAATTTTGTATTAACGGTGGGTGTGGCCCCGTTTGGACCTGAGGGGCGAGGCCAAATAGGGGAAATAGAAGTAAAACCTTTATAATCCTTCTTCTACTGTACGGATTTTATCCTAATTTAGTCTTGAGCATCCTTGGACAAAAGGGACTCAATTTCGTATAAACAGTGTGTGTGCCCCACCTGGGAACAGAAGGGCGGGGCCCAATAGGGGAAACATAGCAAATTCTTCTTCTGTGCGAATGACAGGATTTTGTTCAAATTTGGTATGAAGCATCATTGGGTGAAGGGGAACCAATTTTGTATAAACGGTGTGTCTAACCCCCCTGGAGGCATTCTGTGAACAGCTGGATCCTGGTTTATGATAATGCCTATGGAAGAATTTTTCCTCCACCATCTGATCATAGACTATGCTGTCAAATATATGATGTCTTCATTATTTTCAAGCAAATGTGATGTGTGTAATAGGAAAAAAAAGGAGCAAAAGGATTTAAGGCATAATTATGTGTGCCGGTCATTACTTACGGAAAGATTTCTAATGCTATATTCTAAAGAATGCTTCTTAGCTAATATGTAAGATTTATAATGATATGTAGATGTTGAATAAGACTGACCTTTCTAGTTTATCTGGTACACAGTACCACAGTGACCTATGGTAGTACTTCTCTGTCGTCCTTAACTTTTGCATAAAACTCAATAAAGTGTTGGTGGTAGTATCATTAGGATATGAGGGTTAAACGTTTTGATGAAAATAAAGGCACTGATCTTCATGGGGGCTACAAGTTTGGAAACTACAAATGCTGTACATGTATCATTCTTAGCCAATGAGGGTGAACAGTTTTGCAAATAAAGGAGCTTTAAGGTCGAGTGTCAGGATCAGAAGAGTTCAAATTGGCATATATTTACTACTGGACAGGTTTCAGTTAAATTGTAATTGTTGTGAGCCTCCGTAAAAAAATAAGTGGTTGACCATCCTGGGGGTTGAGGGATGGGTCAAAAGGGGTCAACTTGGCAAATTAAATTCTGTGAGAAAACACATTTCTTAAAACGTCTTTCTTTACAGGATTATGCCCTGCTTCGGGTTGAGAATTACTTTGACCTAAAGGATCGCCTGCAGACCATTTGTTGAGGGCTGGAAGCACTTGCGTCACCGTGATGAAAGTGATAACACAGATGTGTTCAATTTACAAGAAACGCTCAGAAAGTGATAAAATCACAAATATGATAAAAATATTTTACTGTGATTAATTGATATCAATATATTTGTTCTTGTTATGAATTGTTATGATATATGTCTATTGATATTTGAAGTTCACCATGAGCATGTTGTCATTTATTAATAACATTGACAAGGTGGAGGGCTCGTAAAACATTATTAAGTATGATAACGCTTTAAATATCCAATTTACCGGTGTACTATAATGATATGTTTAGATAATGCGACATGTGTTCAGGAAGAATAGCCATCTTGATTCTTAGTAATTCTTCTGATCTCCATATGTATTCAATGCAAGCCAACAGTTGGTTTCCTTTGTATGTTCGTATATGCCACCTGGTTATCCTATTTCATTGCATACAGTTGAACTTCCTTAATGTTAGATTCAAAAGCACAATTCTCAAATCTCACCCTTATCGAAGATTTATTGTTGAAAAAATAATGTTTGTATCAATGAGGTTCTCCTGTAGACAAATCAGCAGTAAATGTAAAACGTAAGGTTCAGTTGTTTTTGGAGGATGCCTACTTGCTTGGTATTTCTTTTAAACGTTGTGATATTAGACACTCACATGCACTCTTTTGCTGGAAATGTAATGTCCTACAAAAAGGAAGGGGACGTGTGGAGGGGGAGTATATCATCCTGGTAAAATACCAGCTGCTTCCTACCTCCTTGGCTAGGTAGACTTTCTCTTTAGCTCAATCTACTGTATAACACGAAATGTTGGTGGATACTTTCCTTCGTGGTTTGAATTAAGCCATTTAGATCGTTTCGTGGTACAAACTTTCGTGGATATCCTTTATTAACAACCAGTAGACACCGGTATCATTCATATTCATTGTACTTATGTTCGTGGTTCCATAGCAACCACGAAAACCACAAATGTTCATTTCATGTGATGTTATAAATACAGTAGGTCACATGTTCAATCCCTAGCAGAGGCATTAAAAAAAGATAATGATATTGACCCCTGTTACCCATAAGTTACATTTGTTGTGATTACAGGGCTTATATCCCCATACCTTACAGATTGTTCTTATATGAAGAAACATATATATGTAGCATTTTTGATTTTTTTTACATAAAAGAAAGGAAGACAGTGTTCTCTCAAAAGTACAGATTACATTTAATCCATTACATTACCTGAAAACTCTTGCGATGAATTGTTGATCAATGAAACAGGATCCTCAATTTTCATGTACAAGTGGAATATGTTTAACAATTTATTAAAAAAACACTTGTTTTAGATTGACATGTTTAATTTTTAAAATTTTGATATGGTGAAGGATATCTTATATATATTAAATCTATGTCTATTTAAAGAGTAGTAGCTGTGTAACGGTAGTTCTGAATAGGATTGAAGACAAGTCCAATAGCAGGTGATGGCAGAATCATGTGTACAGTCTTGGTACCTAAACTAGGAACAGTATGCTGTTTAGAACTTACATTTATTACATACTTACTAATAAATACGTTTTTTTTTGTATATGCGATACGACACAATTGCTCTAACCCATATCACTCCTCGCCGTATCACCCCCCAAAACCTGTATCAGCCCCCGCCGTATCACACCCCAAAGTCTGTATCAGCCCGCAAAACCCATATCACACCCCTTTTGGAAAAAAAATTGTTTTCAATGTTCCAAAAATAAAAATAAATCAGAAGATAGTAGTTTTTATTAGTAAGTATGTAATAAACAGAATAAAACACGCCTTTTTCCATATCCCTTCCATATATTGCAGTCTCGGGTTGATACTGGGTGTGATATGGAAAAAGGCATGTATTATTCTCTATGTATCAGAGAGTTTCTTTCCAGTGCACTAATTACTACACTCATAAAATCTGGGCTATTTTGTCCTTGATATCCTTTGTTCTGATTTGCTGGTTTTTACCATCCATGTTTTTTTGCTTGATATAATATTTTAGTGCATTCAATTAATTGAAACCATACATTAATTTTATTCATTCTCATGTTTTTCTCTAAATTGCCTTTTACTGCGTATCAGGCTACACTGGATGATTACTGCCTACTTACAATACCTAGATACTAAACTTTTATACAGATATGTTTGTACATCCTTTAATGTATATGGGCATGTTATTATTAATTGATTATGTATATATATATAATTATATAATTTATGTATATATCTAATTTCTTAGAATTTTGATTGATTGTATCTTTCTGTTTTTTGTTTTCTTTAGTTCACATTTGGTGGTGAATGTAGTTTTTATTCCTAGCTTTCCTTTACAGTTAGACACACTGCCAGAGTCATGCATGTGCAGTTAACTCTTTCACCTCTAAAGACACATTTTAACTCTTCCAATACATAGGTTGGAATAGTTCATTATGAAATTTCAGGGGTGAATGAGTTAAAGATGATACATATTTTTAAAAGATCTGCACTGTCTGATGTAGTTCATTTCAAAGCTTGATAAATAACATGACGGATCCGGAGGAGTAGGAATGTAAAGAAAGCACTGAACATCATTTCATAAACTTACAATACATCATTTGAATAAAAATCATGAAATTCAAATGATGCAAACAATTTTCCTGATGGTTCTTCAAAACCTAGGATACAGGTTCGTTATAGATGTATGTTATACATTTGATATTTGTGACTTGGTTATCAGTATGCTTTTGTATTTAGCATGAAACATGTTTTACTGTATATTATTCATGTTTTTATTTTGCGGAATCACGATTAAGTTCCTGGAGGATAAAAACTCTGAAAAATAAGCTGTAAACAGTATGCATGTGTATCACTGTAATTTTATACAAGATGTCTTTGCCCAAATATGAGTTTTAAGTTTCAATATGTTGTACATGTGAGGAAGCTTCTGACTCCTAGAATATATAGTGGTCAGTAAATGTTAGGACCGACTTTTTCTAACATGGTAACAGAGATGTACAATTTCACTCATCTGATGCCAGGGCCCACTTGTATAAAACATCTCAAAGTTAAGGAAAATCTCAAGCAATTTATTGTCTATGGGAAATCTTAGACTTGAGGAAATCTCAAAAGTTGAGATGTTTTATACAAGTGGGCCCAGGACCATTAGATTTTATATGAGTGCTTGTGATAAAAAATCCATAATAATTTAGGTTTACTCCATCAAATTTTTCAAAATCAGCCTGTGGGCTAGTATATGTAGTTTTAGAAGGAAAGTGTACACCTCTCTGTCATGGTATTAAAACTTAGTGGATAGATGGTGTTTTGATATTGGTTGACCATAACCAAACTAAAAGTCTGATATAGATGGTTCTTACTGTCATATTAATGGTGGTAAGTACATTGGTCAGGTTCCACTGTATGTATATTTGCCTAATGATCTTGCCATATTTTAATGAGAAAGGTTGCCATTACTGTTTTTATCTATGGCTATTGTGTTGGCATAATGCGTTTCTTAGTTTATTTATCCTAGCCTGAGTTTCCTCTGGCCCTGACACCAGACTTTGCCAGTCATTTTGTCCCATACCAGATATCTATCTGTCAAGTCTGGTGTCAGGGCCAGAGGAAATACCAGACATCTATCTGTCAAGTCTGGTGATGGGGCCAGACGAAATACCAGATATCTATCTGTCAAGTCTGGTGTCAGGGCCAGAGGAAATACCAGACATCTATCTGTCAAGTCTGGTGTCAGGGCCAGAGGAAAAACCAGACATCTATCTGTCAAATCTGGTGTCGGGGCCAGAGGAAATACCAGATATCTATCTGTCAAGTCTGGTGTCGGGGCCAGAGGAAATACCAGACATCTGTCAAGTCTGGTGTCGGAGCCAGAGGAAATACCAGATATCTATAAGTCAAGTCTGGTGTCAGGGCTGAGGAAATACAATGTACCAGATATCTATCTGTCAAGTCTGGTGCCAGGGCCAGAGGAAAAACCAGACATCTATCTGTCAAGTCTGGTGTCAGGGCCAGAGGAAATAAAATGTATCAGATATCTATCTGTCAAGTCTGGTGTCAGGGCCAGAGGAAATACCAGACATCTATCTGTCAAGTCTGGTGTCGGGGCCAGAGGAAATACCAGACATATATCTGTCAAGTCTGGTGTCAGGGACAGAGGAAATACCAGATATCTATCTGTCAAGTCTGGTGCCAGGGCCAGAGGAAATACCAGACACATGTCTGTCAAGTCTGGTGTCAGGGCCAGAGGAGATACCAGACATCTATCTGTCAAGTCTGGTGTCGGGGCCAGAGGAAACTCAGGCTGTTAGCTACCATATATTTACAGATCGTTTTCCTTGTTTTCATGCCTGATGACAATCTGGGTTACTTTTGCATTTGCCTATTGTAAGATTTCGATGTTTTTCATTTTTCATGGCACAACAGGCTTGCCTTTGTCTGCTAAGTTTTGATGTGGTTCCATTGTTTTAAGTCTGTGTTGTTGTTGGTTATCATTGTTGTTATATTTGTAGGTTTTTCGTTATTTTTTTTTCATTACAGGGTAAAATAAGAAATGAATATTTGTTATGCCTTTTCAATTTTCAACAAATTTGTTCATTGTTTAAAATGAAAAATCACAAAATTAGGACGAGACTGTTGTGCCTTGTGTCAAAATTAAAAATAAACTAGAATAGTTAGTATTTCCATGCAAACTAAATGGTAGAGATATTTAATATCAAGACTGCATACAATGCTTCCTCTGTCGGATCTTAATGTATCTTCCTGTGTTATTGTATCCATTTCTAAACAAGAAATTGGTGAATGTTTACTCACAACATTTAGAAATGCTGTCAGCTTATTTGTCAATGTATATCAACACTCAACATTGAAATTTAAAGCGATTCTTTTTTCTGGTATATTATGAAAGTTGTTTGCCTTTATCTATAAATTTTATGATGTTGATGTAAGGGGAACAACTACATCTTCTTTCAAATGCCATGTTCTACTAGCCTGCAATATAGGGTCACCTTTTGAATTATTAACTATGGTTAATATGAATTATATCAACTAAGCACGATCTTAAAAGATCACCAAATGTATAAAATTGTGATAAATAATGTTCTTATGGAATAAAACATATGGAATTGAAGAAGTCTCTTTTCGTCCTTGACTGACATGACACTCTTAGTAACAAAGCTCTTCATTGTGTTTGTTAGCTGAACAAATATCTCAAATATCTGTCTATTTTGCTGTTTATAAAAGCATTTTTTCCAAGAAATGTTATGCCTGACAAACTTTCTGATCCCAAAAGTGAAAACTTCCATTATGATTGATATAATGAATTGGCATGTCTTTCTCGTTCATTTATGCAATTACGAATTTTGACATATCACAAAGAAAGAAAGAAAACAAATACTGGTGTTGTAATTTTTGTGTCTAAATTAAACCAATTATGCAATCTAAAGTTTGGTTTTATAAAAAAGAGTAAACTTTAGTTTTAAAATTTGATGATCAATCCTACTCAATCTGTTACACATATGTCACTTGACAAGTACCTGAATTAATAAGACATTGCTCCGAAAATTATTTATCAAGGCTGGTCTTGCTCAAGTCCGATCTTTTTAGACATCTGATGATGGTGGGTGTTCAAATCGCCCTTTGTCCGTGTTCCATCCACCCATCATCCTTAAACAGTTCTTGTTAGAGCTATTTCTCTGAAAATACTGGGAAATCTTTTTCAGATGTCCCATGAAGGTTTCCCATTAAATCAAGTTATGCATACCAAATTTTGGGTCTTATTGGAAAACAAGATGACCGACAGGTGATCATCTTGAATTTTGAAGGTGAAAGTTTAGTGCTATTTTCCAGAATTAACTGGAAGGATCTTTCTCCAATTTTATACAGATGTTCCCTTGTGGTCCATGTGGTGCATATCAGATTTGGGTCATATTGCAAAACCAAAATGGCCGACATTTGGCCATCTTGAATTTTAAGAGTTCACTTACGAAAGCGCTGTTTTTTAAGAAAGTATCGGAGGAGTTTTTCTCAATTTCATTGACATTCGGCCATCTTTAATTTTGAGAGTTAAGGTTTGTTTCACTATTTCTGTAGAAGTACTAGACAAATCGTTATCCAATATCGTATGCTGATTTTGACAGGTCCTAAGTTGTGCAGAATTCTTCTTGAGGCTGATCAGAAAAACAAAATGGTCGCCAGGCAGCCATCGTGCATTTCGACACTTTCAATTTGTTATCACCACTGGAACCTGATCATTTGTTACGGCTATATTTGGACTTAATTTAAGGTGTTAAGAGTAATCTTACATGTTTTAGGGGTTTAGATCGACTTCGGACATACTTACTAATAAAATACCGATAGATATACTATCCTATGATCTATTTTTCTTTTTAAATTTTGAAAAACGTAAAAATTCCATAAGGGATATGTTATACAGGTTTTGCGTGCTGATACGTAGAGGGCTGATATGGGTTTTGGGGTGTGATACGGCGAGGCCTAGGCTGATATGGGTTAGAGCAATTGCGTCGTATCGCATAAACAAAAAACCTGTATTTATTAGTAAGTATGTAGTAAATTCTGGTATATATCATTAAAACTACTCTGAACACATGCGTTTATGTCCCAATATAGCTGTAACACATTTTCTTGTCCCTGTGATTATCACTATTTCACAAATTTCAAATTTAAGTTCTCCCCGTTACATACTAAGTACTGTATTTGTAAACAAGCCAAACAGCAACCTCCACTTTGAAAGAACAATGTCATACCCAGCACTATGAAGTTCTGATCAAAAGGCTACAATAAGGTACACGAACTCAATCAAACAAGAGAAAGAAGGGAGAAAAGATTAGTCTTGCATAGAATTTATGAACATGTACGATGGTAGGCTTCAATATCCACCCCTCTGGGATCTCTTGCTTTTTTTATTTCCATTCAATCGCCTTTGATAAACATGTGTGATTCATTGATATACAAAGAGGAGTTGAACACTTTAAAAAAAACTAAACAACAAACCTTGAATTAGGTTGTTCACAAAACATGCCTATCTATTGTCCTTTACTGTTACTGGACCTATTTCTAAAGCTCCCATTGGAAGGGGCTCCGCCTGGACCCGCCCCAGCATACAGTGTAGATTTGTTTAAAGATTAGTTTATTGTCAGAAATGTAGCAAAAGGAGGTATTTACGTCCACTCCATAAATGCTAACAAACAAATATAATGACAAACCAAGAAGAGGCTTAAAAAAGCATTCAGGTATATTCAGAATAATAACATCCGGAATCCACTTTATAAGAACTTTCTTTGAATATCAATACAGATGCCTACCGTTGTACTTCAGTTTTGCTAATTAACACCGAGAATTCCTGGCTACATCTTCTGTGAGACACGATACGACATTATGACTTCCCTTCCATTACGTTTTGGTTTCCAAAAAAATAACATGATCTTAAGCAAACATTCCTACAATCGAGAGAAAATTCATATACAATACCTTTTGTTTCATATAATTAATAACTACTACAACTAACCTTCTACGAGATATATTATCATCTTTCTTGTCAAGAAAGCTATGCTTGCTCTCTTGGAACCCCAGTTTCGAAAGTTCATTTAATGGAATACCCGATTTAATCGATTGATTGATGCTAAAATATTTGATTGATTGGTCTACATATGCTGTCTGTTTTTGAAAACAGTTGATCAAAGCCAGTATTTGATCGATTGCAATTGTAACAGGAGAGGGAGACGCACGGTCAGATCGGGGTTCGAACCTGAGACCCTCCCAACTCTAGACGGACGCTCTACATACATATGGAGAAATGACGGTCACTTTGCTAATTTGCATAATCCGCCATCTTGGATAAAATGGCGGCCATTTGGCCCATTTGGATAACACTCTATTCGGCGTAGCTTGCGCAGGCAGCAAGAGTCTGGTTGAACGAGACTATATGGGCTTTAGTAATCCGGACAATATTTGCCGGGATGTCAAATTTCACTACACACCGTCTAAATATGGGGGTTAAAAGTTAATTAGCGCGATCCATTAAAACTCGAGGTTCCTGGAGTAGATGAACTTTTGAAGCAGGGCGCCTATATATGTTCATGGAAAACGACCAAATAGCCATTTTCTGCACTTTCGATAGAATATTTCGATGCTGTCTCCATCACCTAGATAAGTTGCCGAGATCCGCTCGATAACTTCCGGTTTAGAAAAACACTGTTTATGAGTTGTTTTAAGAATATTTGCAATATACGAGGTTCCTGGAGCATTTGAAAAGTGGATTTTCTTAAATTTGACATAAAATCACAGGGGCGCCATAGCCATAGGGGATTATGTAAAAACATCGTATTCTTCTGCATTCAAAATATTTACCTATTCAATCCTTCGGATAAACTGAATTTGATGTATATATATTACTGTGGATAGAATTACAAGAATGCTATACGAATGGCCACGTGATTCGAAAAAATAACTTTACAACTTCTAACTAATCTGACATGATATACAATATTTCTTTTTAGTGTTTTTTTCCAGAACATGCCGTGACATAAAGTGTGTCCCTGTTTCACACAGTGTTGTTAAATAAATGTGTAGACAATCTTTTATACTAAGATGGTACACATATGAACGTACGTGCTCGAGCACCTCATACACTTTATACATAAAAAAGGAGCAAAAACGGATTCTCAGGACGAAAAATTAAAGTATAATGATACATGTACTTGAAGCTAATCGATGTTGTTGTTGTATCTTTTAATTGATAAATCAATCCGTCTGCCTTATTGTTGAATGGAAAATGTAAATTTATCAGTCGTTCCAACTAACTATATGATGTAAAATTCAACATTTGAAAAAGAGCTAGTATTCCAGCCTAGCCTCCGAAACAATCATCTGAGACATATAAATTTAATCTTTCTCTCCGGGACAGTCTGGTTCACGTCTTGCACCCCTCATCTGTTACATATAAATATACATAGTCTTCAGTATAATTAAGTAACTTCCGTCAGCCCGTGATTATTATGTCCTTATTGTTTTATAATCTTTGTATCACGTATACTAACTGTACTACTGCAATGTATTGAGATTGCAATCGTCATATTTGGTCTTGTTTCATTCGATGTATGCACATGTTTAGGTCACCTGAGCTTTAGCTCAAGTGACCTATTGCTATCCTTCTTCGTCTGTCGTCGTCCGTTAACATTTTACATTTTCAACTTAAGCTGAACTTGAATACTGGCAAAGGGATTTGATAAATATTTCATGGGAAGGTTACTGACATCTCCCTGACCAAGTGTTGTTATTTTTCGGGTCGATCAGAAATCCAGTATGGCCGCCACGGCCGCCATTTTGAAAAACTATTTCAAACTTAAAGTCAAGTTCTACTTTGCCGTTTGAACTGAAACTTTGTAGGAATGATCAACTCATGGTCCTGGCAAAGTGTTGTTATTTTTCGGGTCAATCAGAAATCCAATATGGCCACCACGGTCGCCATTTTGAAAAACTATTTCAAACTTTAATTCAAGTTCTACTTGGCCGATTGAACTGAAACTTTGTAGGAATGATCGACTCATGGTCCTGACAAAGTTTTGTTATTTTTTGGGTCGATCAGAAATCCAATATGTCCGCCCGGCCGCCATTTTGAAAAACTATTTCAAACTTAAAGTCAAGTTCTGCTAGGCCGATTGAACTGAAACTTTGTAGGAATGATCGACTCATGGTCCTGACAAAGTGTTGTTATTTTTCGGGTCGATCAGAAATCCAATATGGCCGCCACGGCCGCCATTTTGAAAAACCATTTCAAACTTAAAGTCAAGTTCTGCTAGGCCGATTGAACTGAAACTTTGTAGGAATGATCAACTCATGGTCCTGGCAAAGTGTTGTTTTTTTCCGGGTCAATCAGAAATCCAATATGGCCACCACGGTCGCCATTTTGAAAAACTATTTCAAACTTAAAGTCAAGTTCTACTTGGCCGATTGAACTGAAACTTTGTAGTAATGATCGACTCCTGGTCCTGACAAAGTTTTGTTATTTTTCGGGTCGATCAGAAATACAATTTGGCTGCCATGGCCGCTTTTTTGAAAATAGGTCTAGGAATGATCAGCTCATGGTCCTGACAAACTTAAGTTAACGTTATACTTAACATTTTTTTACTCAAATTGGTACATATTTCAAAAACAAAAATAAAATACTGTAGGACTCAGGTGACCGTTAAGGCCCATGGGCTTCTTGTCTAAGATACCACACCTTTTAATTTTGTATACAAGTTTGATTACAACTTATTGTGCAGTGATGGGAACCGTCTAGTCTATATGTTCACTTGTTGGAATTTTAATTTAAAACCATTCGTGCAGTTCACATTACCCCTTCGGGGGCCCCTTGAACTACCAATTTCTCGTTAACCTCGCGGGTTTTGTAGATTAAAGTTTCACAACTAACACATTAAATGTCTTCTTACATATAAATAAAATAAGATTTTTATATAGCGTAGACGTAACAAGTACAAAATGCACATTGTTTATGTTTTTTCATCGGTATAGTATAGAATGTGCAAGAATGACAGCTGTCTGGCTATATATTCTATATTTTTTCTTTTATTAAGAAATTATGTAACTCCCGTTCCTATTATCTTTGATAAATCTCGTTCAATATGATCAGTTGGTTAGTTTTATTCTACTGAGTTGTCTTAAAATACGCCAAAATCGTTACTTTAATGAGCCTGTGAACAATTATTTTTGCAATTGGTTGCCATGGTGGCGCGGAAAAAACTTTGATGATCAAGTGATCCAACATGCTCCGACCCTCATTGATATTCAGAAAAAAATGGCCCTCATATATAGGATCTTACATGAGTTTCCATTTCATACGAGATTTATGAAACGAGTGTAACTTGATTTTTCAATTTAGCGGCGAGCCTGTGGCAAGCTAAAATGAAAAATTCGTGACGAGTTTCATAAATTTCATATGAAATGAAAACGAGTGTAAAATCAAGATTTGTGGCATTTATTTGTGTAAAACGATAATTTTCATGCAACTTTGATATGTAAAAAGCCGCCATTTTGACTCCAGTGCGTAAGTCTATGACGTCATGTACTTGTCCTAGGCGTGACATCACAATTGAAACAATTGAAACTTACAACCAATCACAGGGCTGATAGGTCAAATTACATGGATTAATTTGCAAAAAAAGTATGACATGAATATATTCACTGGATAACACAGTACATTATGTGATAATTCTCCATATGACCAATTGAGCTACCTGGTCGCCAACGATCCATCCAGTCTAGTTCTAGTTCCGTAATCAACTGTATATGAATGCAAACTGCAACGGAGCACGTTAACTTCTGTGCCGCTCTTCATCGTATTTTACCGGGATCTTAATTTCATTTACCAAAGGAAATTTTGGAATTTCGGATTTCTTAAAGAAAATATGATCAAGTCGCAGAAAATGATGAACGAAATGTGTTGGAAAATCAGTTCTCTACAGTACTAAAAAATGAGAATACCAATGATTTCCACGTCACGGATACCACCGGAAAAATGGCGGGTGACAGACACACGCAGCGACGTCACTTCGATGTCATGACGTCACATATTCTTCGCCGGCTCCGCGTTGAAGGCGACATCAAAATGGCGGCGGAAACTATTGACTTTGATTCTTCCTTCGACAGTGAACATAGAGAAGATGGTATAGATCGAATGATTGGAGATGTTTTAGAAGATTCGTTTGAAGAAATACCAGAGGCAACGGACGAATTTTGGAAGCCTGTCATCAGTGTAGAAGCGAATATGAGCAGACAGCAACCTGTTGAAATTACGGAATCGGCGTCGCCGTTGGACTCGGTGTCGGAGAAAGTTGAGAAACACCATGCTGCTCGTTCACAAGATGAGTATCCTCTTCCTGTTCGTTCCATTATTGATAATAACTGTACCTATTTTGATGAAGGAGTCCAGTTTTTAAGACGTTCTAAAAGCGAAGACATACTTTGCAAGAACCAAACTGACCATCAGCCGGCGTATTATGAATCATATCCTATTCCTATGCAACAGAATTATGTGACAACGCCAGATAAAATATCGAACCTTTCGGATTCATTGTCTTCGGTTGAGGGCACCCGACCAAGCGATAACTTTTTGTTAGGTGATAAAGGTTTTAAAAGTTTCTTTGACGAATATGACAAGAAACTTGATTACCTTGAGGTAAAACACACGGCCATAGATGATTCTTTTAATGATATGCAGTCAATTTTAATGGAGTTTGAAAACTTTGTGTCATTTATTGAACACCAGTATATTGAAAGTATTGAACCAGCTGAAAAGAAGTCTGACGATCCTTCCGATGACGTAGCTGATGCAGGGAACAAAGACAAAAAAGCAGAAGACGATACTGATCAATGTGCTGACACGCCAGAAATTTGTGAGGAAGATCGAATTGAGGAAGATCCTGGTGGTCAGATTGACAAGTGTGAATCTGGCGAAGACTTGAAAGAAAATGATATTAATAAAAGTGTTGATATCACCGATAATGAAAACATTTCTGCTGAAAATCATGACGAAATCTCAGAAGAAAATGAGGAAAATGTTCCTGACAAAAACACAGACAGACAAACGGAAGAAAGACTTCAAAAAAAATTTGATGAAGAGGAGAAAGAACTCTGTAATGGTGATAACAAAAATGAGCAAAACGAAAAGAGTAAATGCGAGATGCACGTGCAGAGAAATGATTGTCAGGATGACCCTACTAAGTGTGATCTGGCTATGGACATGCGATCATTTTTGATGTGCTTGAATTCATCACTGCATGAGATGTTCACACGATTTCAGAATTTTGTAACTGAAGTGGGAGGTAAGTTAAATTTGATTTTATAATCTATAGAACTGATAGCTATATATATATATATATAGTATGTCATAACTTATTACACAGTAATCAGTTGGTTCTTGCAATGCAGCTTATATGCCTAGTGCCTAGGCCTAACTACCTATATGTTACCTGTCGCATTATTGAAGTGACCTCATAGAATTCGTATGACTGGGGAATCCCTTCGTCTCAAACCTAGACTGAGGGCAAGACAAGGATATTCCCCCATCAGACAGATTGCCCACACTGCCGGTTGTGGCCAGATTGTTTTGTCTTAACATAGTTTCGCTCAGTTTCGCTTAGATGACATCATTGTAAGCTAACTAGTAGTTGTGGTGATGTATGATATTCTTTTCTGTACACACGCGCACTAGTTTGACTTCTGGTTGCTATATAGCTATGTACAGTTAAAGGTTCATTTCTTTATCTGGTAGTGTAATGTATGCATAAGCCTCCAAGGCATCAAGAGTTGTTCCCCTTGATAATGTGACGCTTCAAGCGTCTCTGTAACTTAGAAGGTTCTTGAATAAACATGGCGGCTTGAAACACGTTTCCAGTGTCTCTGGATTCTCTTCAATTATTACTGCTAAACGCAGTCTGTAAACGTTACAGGTAGGGTCGGAGTATTCAGCTCCCACTGTTGAATCCTCTCCTTTTACAATTTGGTGGTTAAAAATATGTGATTTTTAAAAATCATGGTCAGTGCCAAACAGTCAATTTGTTACATTGTCACTTTTGACTGATTGGACTTGCATATCATGATATATATATAAGTAACTAATAAAAAGATGGCTTGAATTTTGTCGGGTGATGTTTCCAGTGGCTATTGAGCCGTGACTTGAAGATGTTGAACGTTGGAGAGGTTACTACCTCCTCTGTTAGAGAGTTCCACATATATGTATCGCTCTGTTGCTGTAGAAGTTACCATATTTGTTTAGTCTGTTTGTTTGAATAGTTTCCTTGAATGCCCACTGGTTCGGTTGTCTTCAGCTTCATGGAATGGTTTGCCCTTGTCAAGAATGTCCATGTTGTTTAGTATTTTGTAGGTTTGAATTACGTCAGCCCGATGTCTTCTATATTCGAGAGTTGGGAGTCCAAGTTGTCTTAGACGTTCTTCGTATGTTATGTTTTTAAGAGTTGGAATCCTTTTGGTTGCTCTTCTTTGGATGTTTTCGATTGTAATTTTGTCGCGGATCAAAAATGGTGATGTAACTGTTGTCGAGTATTCCAGATGAGATCTAATAATAATATTTATTCAGGTAAAATAGGCATGTTATTACAAGATATCACAATTTAGAATAAAATATATAATTAAAATCACATTGCAGTTTGTAAATAAAAAAGAGTATTTTGTATTAAGACTGAGAATAATAATAGATCTGACCTAATAAAAGGTTTTTTAATTCAATCATTGACATATATCACAAAGTATACAAATCTAAAAAAAGTCTGATACACTGCAAAAAAAAAGGCAGATATTACTATAAAATGAGACAAAATGAGACAGACTATTTTAGTAAATGAACGTATTTATAAATAAAAAAAAGATCGCATGATAGGAGTGGTGGTGATTGCCATTTACCTAGGATTGCCCATAAAGCCACCAAGTGGCGTATTTCCAATGGGGTCCTTTAAAAACGGAAGAAAAGTAATAAAAAAGGAAGAAAATCAATCCGGTGACGGTTCAGATAGCACAGAATAGGATATGTGTGTATCTAATCAGCGTTTTGTATAGAGTTAGGCACATTACAGGGCTCATGTATGTAAAGGTCCGGAATACTATGCCCAGCATCCTATTTGCTTTTGATGCAGCTAAGTTGGCGTTGATTGAGAATTTTAACTGATTGTCTATATGGACACCTAGGTCTTTCTCGTGTTCCGCTCGTACGATTGGGGATTCTTTTCCATCTTGATCATAAGTTATGGTGTAAGTGACAGTACCCAAATCGGATCACCAAACCATCATTTTATTAAATGCTTGAAAAATCTGAAGAGGAATTATATTCATTTATGGTTGGATTAAAAAAAGAATATTAATGGGTGTTCTCAAAAACGAAGTTACCACCCTGGGCTCACTTGAGATATTTATAGAACGCTCTGAAGTCACCAATCAGCGTCTCCTGTTTTTGCGAATGTCGGGACCCAAATCGGATCACGGCTCGAATTTTGCAGTATCGTACGCTTCAAATAAATAAAAAAAAATTGTCAGCATATTAACATTTTATGATGACCTTTAGAATTTATGTGACAAAAAAGGATTTCTATAGTGTGAATTTATTCCTAAAGTCCAAAACATACTGCATAGTCGTCGCACGCGCCATTTTTTAAAAACGTAATCAAAACATTGACATTTGAGTTTGAATTACGTTTTCTTGCGCTATTTGAACTTAAAAACTAATTATCTGTAGTCAAAAAATGGTGCATGGCTATCTATGATAAGACTATATCATTATTATAACAGTTGATTTGTTGACACATTTATTTATTTATAAGTATTTTTGCAAAAATTGATTCGATTTGGGTACCGATCCGATTTGGGTACTGCCACCTTATATACAGCTGTATGGTCAATTTGTATAGGATAAAGACGAGGGATTTTCTCGACCATAACAATTGTATATAACATTACGTCGACAATGCATCGACGGCATGCCAATAACAGCCGGTAATAGCTCATTATTGCTGGAAAACCATACATTCTGCATACTGATAGTGCTCATGCAATCACCACTTCATCGTCGGAAACCCACGTTAGATTGTACTAGCGTTTAAACCCACGATGTCACCACTTTTATTTGAGGTGTGAAAAAAACAGTTATGCCCCACTTTTGGAGTAAGATAGAAAAATGCCAACCCTCGGAATGTCTGGTTCTTGGCAAAGCCTCGGGTTACTAGTAGACATTTAAGAATCTTTCCCATTGGGTTTAACCTTTTAACCTGAACAAGTTACTCCTGAGAGGCATGTGTAGTTTTATACCAGCAAGCCCATAAAATATAATGGAAGAAGAGGAGATTTTTCTGTGTTACCCACAAGGTGGGGGAAGATTTTATTATTCCTTCATTCCTGTGCGTGTATGATATTCGATTAATATACTCTTCCCCTACCTTGAGGGTGTGACAGAGAAATCTCCAACCCGAGGGGGGATGCTTTTTGGTGGTCTTATAACCCGAGGCTCTGCCGAGGGTGAGACAACCAAATAAATCAACCCGAGGGTTGGATATTTCTCTGTTACACACTCAAGGTAGGGGATGATTATTTCTCTCCCATCCTATCATTTCAGTCACAACTCCACCGACAGTAGTCTGCCATGTTTGTAAACAAAAACACATGTGGGATATCCATATCGTCATTCACCTTTGATGACGTCATTATTACCGATGATGCATTTTAATGACGTTACAATCGAACACGTGCTAATCGGCACCAGGCTATCATCTCCCCCTAGGGGGTGACAAGCTGATCTTTACCGGCTAAAACGGGAGACACACCTGTGAAGGGTGGGAGAATAATAGAATCTTACATGGGTCTGTTCCGTGGACAGGGATTTCTCTTACCCTGGACAGGTGTATCCGCACTTTTACCGGTATGAGATTTCCTTGTCTCACCCTAGGGTTGAGACGGGGCGATTCCCCTATTCATAAAAATGGCATGACGTCACTTCAACAATACAATGACGTCACGTCAACAATCCAACAACGTCACAACCCTGAATTTAGCATGTAACGTTATCATTATCATTATCATTATCCCATTGTGTATATGATACACAATGGGAGAACAGGGTAAGAGAAAAAGAATAATTCACCCTCTTGTGGGTGAGATAGGGGAATCTCAACCCTCTGGGAAAGATTCTTAAATTGCCAAATACTCGGCAAAGCCTCGTGTTTGGCAACTTAAGAATCCTCCCCCTTGGTTTGGGATTCTCCTATCTAACCCCAAGGGGGTGAAAGATTCTATTAATCTCAACCCGAGTGTCAGAGCTCGACAAGCCTCGTGCTGACAAGCCAAACTCTTACACGACGGTTGAGATATCACTGTCTATGGAACAGACCCATGTTTGATTATCTTTCTCACATACATACAAATAAACAAATTCCAGCCGAAATAAACATCGATCTTATTCTACCGGCAAACCCCAAAGCCCTAGGGTTGAGACGGATGATTCCCCCTATTCACAACAATGATATGACAGCACGAAAACAATGAAATGACATCACGTTGACAATCCATTATTATGGCGTCATAGCGCGTGTCAGCCGTCTTTCCCTACCCCGTGTAAGATAGAGTTTTCTCTTACCCTGGAAAGGTGTATCCGCACTTTTACCGGTGTGAGATTTCCTTGTCTCACCCTAGGGTTGAGACGGGGGGATTCCCCTTTTCATAACAATGGCATGACGTCACTTCAACAATACAATGACGAGAAATAGCTTTCTCATACCATTCACATAATTATATCTCCAGATTTACCTGTTCATTATTTTTAAATAACATGACAAGAAATAATACTATGACGCCACCTGAACAATCAGTTATGACGTCACAATCGGCTCTCGACAAGAGTCTCATGTGCAAAATAGGAAAGAAAAATAATTGAAAATGCCGAAAATAATCGTTTTTAAACATACAATGTAGTACTGGAATGAATGAAGAAAATTAATTAGCCCTGATCTTGAGTCGGATATTTCTAAATGTAGAGATTTATTCTTGGGGCAATGGAAGAAAATGCGTTTTAAAATAGATGATTCTATCATCGGATATGTGAATATATGTAGGAGAGAATATTCAACCCGAGGGTGAATTATTTGGGTTCAAAAACCTCGGCAAGCCCCGGTTTTTGCACACCAGGTTTTGTACTCTCGAGTTGGACGTTTCTATTCTCCATTATATGATATTTTTTTTATTTTTTATATCGCCTACCAATCATGGGTGAAATTTGTCTTACATAGTTGTCTTTTCTAGAGATTTCTATCTTACACCATATTTCATGTGCGTGGCGTTACACTAAGACAGAAATGACGTGACGTCGTGAAAAAGGTGAAATTTCGAAGCAGCGATGCGGAAAATGTCCGTTTGTTTAAATCAAAATCTTAAATAATGAATAAGCTGTATGTATTTTTGTTGCAAAAACACTCGGGAGAAATGTAGGTGCTTTCAAAATGGTATCTAGTCAAAACGAGTTTTTTCATGGTTTATGAGCTTACTCGTCCATGCTCTGGACAGTGTATGCATCCTAGCTCTGTTTGGCGCTATACTATGACGAGGTTAAACCTGAGGTTATGCAGTCTTTATAGAATGCATAAAAATAGAAAATATAATTGGACATGGAAGATTAGAGAAACTACTCTTACAACTGTGAATAATGGCGAAAACAAGTCATTTTTGTAGCGTAACATTGTATTATGTATTGTATTCTCTATTGCTTTTCCTTCCTCATAGAAACTGTTCACTTGGGAGCGCTGGCAACTCAACACTCGCAAAGAATGGATTCCTGGGCCTCTCACGTACAACGCCTCTACAACTCGCTCAAAACTGACCACAACAATATGCAGGTGCGATATTTGTAACACGGAGTGACAACTGGGAGCGGTAGTGTGTGGCTCCCTGCTTTATACAAAGCATTTAATACAAGGGACCTTGACACCTTGACACATAAATTCGTTGGAGGTATTCTCAAGCATACACTAACATTTTAAGATTTTTTTTAAGCATATAGTTTTATTAATTTCATTTTTATGATTAATTTGGACCGTCCGTATTAGTGTTAGTATTAGTGATAAAAAAAGGAAAGAATAAAGACATCTTCTTAGTCTGATAAAATAGTGCTGTTATGTCTTTACACAAAAGTTCTAAATAAAATTTACTAAGTGAAGCACACATTTTTTATATTATACATGTAAAAAAATCGGGTTTTACTTGTTAATAATCAGTCTGAAAGGATTTCCCAGAATATTACGAGAGATAATTGCTAGGGCCGTGTAGAATTTTTTTTTCCAGTTATGGGGGGGAGAACTCCCCCTCCAACTCTCCCTCCCATAACCCCCCCCCCCTCCGGCGATACGCGCATACTCTCCAAAAAATGATTTGCTACGCCACTAAAAATGTATGATTTTGATAAAACACTAAAATGCAAAATAAGGAAGCATTCAATTTAAAAATTCAGTAAGTGACTTACTGAATTTTTAAATTGGATACTTCCTTATTACTTAAAGTAACTATATGCAGATCGATTATGACGTTTTATTATGACGTCACAATATAGAAAACTGGTCAAAACGTCGTTTGACTGACTAAGGCATTCCGTCGTCAAGTGACACCACATCGAGATTATAACGATTGTTGTACAAGCTTGACCTGAAGGTTTGGTATGGATCTTTGGAATAGAGGTATACCAATGGTATAGTTTTTGCTCTTTCCAAATATGGCCTTAGTTTGTGTATACGTTATCTAGAAATTTTGTTATATTTAGTGTTGTATATACTGTTTTACTGAAATGTTGCTTAAGAGGTGGGGAGGGGGGAGGGAGTTGGCAATGCAGGTACATGTATGTTGGATAAGACTATTCTACCCTCGGGTGCAGTATTTGTTCTGACTCAAATTCTACACCCTCGGCTAGAATATCCATATTCCACAACCCTACATACGATAGACTCTATTGGTCTTTTATTTTCGTATGTATCTACATAGTATAATGTTTCATCTTTGTCATAAGAGTGCTTCTATGGTGTTACCATGATTAAGGAAAGAACGAGGTCTTTCCAACTATTTGCTCGGGGGTTTAGTAGTAGTTATATAATATAGGTTATGCTGATATGACTTATTTCCCGAGGCAAATGCAAGAGAAATATTAAATTCGGACACATTGTACCAGCCTTATTTAAGGATTGAACGTAAGTATGAATGTAATCTGGGTGACAGATAAATAGAATGACTTCCGTAAGACGTCATGCTTATTTATGTCACCCAGATTGCATTCATATGGGCTGTTACTGCAATCTGACAGACGTTCAATCGTTATATTTACATTTACTCATACGACCTGTCTTTTATTAAATAGTCGGATGAGCTTAATTGATGACGTCGCTGTAACGGTGGGAGTGGTTGCTAACACTGACGTCTCGGAAATCTCGGTCATGTGACTTTATAATGCTGAATGCAGTTACTGTCCAGTAACAGCAGGCTGACTTTCCATAGAGTTAATGGAAAATGGGAAGGGCATATGTAAATATTGTATTATATATATAGTGAAAGTATACCGATTGATAGGTTATTTTGTAAATGTAATTTAGAAAATGTTTCTGAATTATAATGTACCCTGTGCCAACTTTTAACCAGGAATACATAGAGCTGAGGGAGAAGGACTGGATCAAAGTTAGGAGTCAGTTACAGGCCGAGCTCGAGACCCAGGGCCACCAAATTCATGAGGTCATCACCGCCCTCAAAGAACACGAGGACGTCCGACGGAAGAGCGAGCGTAATCTGAGTAAGAGAGGTAAGATACATGTGATAACGCATCACGTAGGAGAGAGCAAAGAGTCGATATATATATAATGTGTAATGTCTTTCGTAGGACGAAGCATAGTCTAATGTGAGATAAGACGTGCTATTGTCTGACGGAGGAGCAAGTCACTGTCTTAACTGAGATTACAAGCGCTATATGAGATAAGACGCGCTAATGTCTGTCTCTGAGTTACCTGTGGTCACATCAAGAAGACAAGGGGATATTAGCTGGGGACAGAAGATGTTATTAAATACAGTATGTGAGTAATGTGAGTAATGATAATTATCAAATCTAAGTGTACCTTTGCAAGCACTTGTATTCACGTAATCGTTTGTTCGCACGTCACACGGTAAACAGAGCAGACAAAGCAACATCGAATGGAATGTCATTTTTTCCGGACAGACAAGATGGTATGAAATTTACCGAACAAAAACGAATCGTAGGTTAAATCTGCCGGGCAAGAATAGGCTGAACAATTGTCGGGTAAAACAACACGGCATCGGAGGTCTTATTGTTTAGAGTCAATCATTAACTCTTTGATTAAGAGAAGTCCGTGGTTTTACCATTGAGCGAAAGATAAGACACAAAGAAAGAAACAAAGTTACATTTTGTGTCTTCCTATTAACACAATAGGTGATACAGGATCCGATGATATGTCGGCGAATTTAAAACTTTTGACACAATTTTCCATTTACGTTCAATGCTTCATGCTTCGTCGATTCGAGAAAGAATTATGTTTCACGTCGTCAGAGTAATAATATATGATATTTAAAAAAAAGTGTTCGTGTTATCTTATATGTCTTAAACATTTTTGCATATAAGAAAGTCGAATTAAGACGCTTATCTGTTTTACAGTTGGTGAGAGACTTCTTCGGAAGTCCGAAAGGAGCAAATCCCTTGACAAGTTGGACAATAATCTTGTGGATATTCTTCAAAAGAGGCGATGTGACCAGGAGCAGGCGATGGCGCTAGATTTCTCAAGACAACTTAAGGTCAGTCTTCTATTGTCCACATATAATGGTCAGTCTTCTATTGTCCACATATATAATGGCCAGACTTCTATTTTCCACATCCATATAATGGTCAGTCTTCTATTGTCCACATATATATAATGGTCAGTCTTCTATTGTCCACATATATATAATGGTTAGTCTTCTATATTCCACATATATAATGGTCAGTCTTCTATTGTCCACATATATAATGGCCAGACTTCTATTTTCCACATCCATATAATGGTCAGTCTTCTATTGTCCACATATATAATGGCCAGTCTTCTATTGTCCACATCCATATAATGGTCAGTCTTCTATTGTCCACATATATAATGGCCAGACTTCTATTTTCCACATCCATATAATGGTCAGTCTTCTATTGTCCACATATATATAATGGTCAGTCTTCTATTGTCCACATCCATATAATGGCCAGACTTCTATTGTCCACATATATATAATGGTCAGTCTTCTATTGTCCACATATATAATGGCCAGACTTCTATTTTCCACATATATATAATGGTCAGTCTTCTATTGTCCACATAAATATAATGGTTAGTCTTCTATTGTCCACATATATAATGGTCAGTCTTCTATTTTCAACATGTAATTCAATGTCATTCTTATCTCAAGGTTAGTGTGAGTTCAGATACATATCCAGATCACTGACCTATTCCATTCTGATTTTTGATATATCTTCAGTTCTGTATCATGATATCGACATCTCACGATCAGTCTCTGATTAAAGATAGAGTCTAATTCAAGGTCAGACTATGGTTTTACATGTATTCAAGGTCAACCTGAGTAAAATGATATCTTAAGGTCAGTCTCTGATTCTAGATATATCTGAAGTTCTTTCTAAAACTCTGGATAAAATTGTAGGTCCCCCTTTAATCTCAAAATAAGACTTTGATTCAAGATATGAAATATCCCAAGGTCACTTTATGAATCTAGATATATCTCTATAACTCAAATTCAGTGCCATATTCTATAAGTTTGTCATGGTCAGTCTCATTTTTCTAGGTATGCATATCAAATTTGATCCCATTTCTTTCACAAATAAATCTTAAAGTCAGTTTGAAGACAATAGTAATGGTTCAATCGGCATCAGATTTATATCGCCGTAAGAAAACAGGGACGAGTTTTTAACAAAACGTCAAAAAACACTATTGACACCCGCTCACTGATTACAAACAGATAACGGAACTGAAGCTAATTCTGGTGAGACAACAGAGCTATATCCAGAGACTGGAGTTACAAAATAAGGAGCTGGACGGGGTCCTTAGAGGGGTACTCTTCGACCCAGACACGGAACAGGTATGTCGTAGACGTAACACAAAAAAAATATACAAAATTGGCTGATAATTTCGAGTTTTCTTCCTTAATGTAAATATATCTTTCTCGGAAATTATCTTCCTCACCGACAAAGTCATGACTTCATCTTTTCCTTCGTCGTTAAAATCGGCAGGAAAAAATAGGTCACAATACAATCGTTCCATCACAAAGTATTGTCATTTGTCGTTATAATCATTGTATTAATCTTTACCTATCTATACATATATGTGATGTTATTAACATGAGGGTGATACAAACACTATTCCTGGAACAGACTAAGGCGGCGTATGCCGTGTGACGTACTATTAACAGCTCAGGATGTGCTTTGAATCATGTGTGTTATGTATGGGTGCATGTGTTAAGCGTGTTGGAGAAATGGTATGTTGGTGTATTTGCCTCCTTGTGACAGCGCGGATCAGATGCCGACTTTAAAGTGGTACCTTACTGAAATACTACCCAACACAGTACTCTACTCCGTCACATTATACGGGTGGTCGAGTAGCGCAGTGGATAACACACTGAATCTTTCACCAANCCCCGCGCGCGCTTATATAACATCTGGGCCAACAAGAGTGATTAATTTAAGTTAATATAATTTGTTTCATAATTGTTGTACAATAAATACTGTTTACAATAAATACTGTTTATATTATACATTATACTTACAACGTGAAAACCAGTTGCTGCGATTACCTCAAATACTGAACGTTAAGCAGGGAACAATGCCTACCGTTTTCAGCACTTTTCCAAACAAGGCAAATTTAAGTTATTTTGTTTGTACCATAATTGCTGTCATCTACACTGATTTTTCCGTCTGGACTTTAAAAGAAACTTTCTTTCAAATATTCACTTTATCTTCACTGTTAGGGCGGCTGTCACCGATCTGGTTTATATATCTGACTTAATATTATCTCTGGTGCTGTGTTTATAGTGACCTTTATCGCAGTTGATTAAAAAAGGTTGCTCCACCAAAAATATTTCAAACGCGCGGACTTAGCAAATCGGATATAATTTTAGTTCCGTTTATGGGTTTATCTTTTCCTTTTATTTGTAGTTGTAGTTGTAGTGAAAATCAGTTTTGTTTGATTCGCCCTTTTCAGTTCAGCGGAAACTACTTTGTACGGAACCCTGCACAGATCGGGGAGGGGTTCAACACGATGACGGACATACTACACTGTGACAAAGCAAATTATCTTCCTGGCAAGTCCACTGATCCCGACATGGTAGCTTCACAGACGTTTGACATCGGTAAGTCAGACACTTAAAGTCTTCACACTGTTTAATTTGATAGCACGTGCCTGTCAGACGTATTTATCCGCATACCTGCTAAGTTTTCAAAGTCGTTTAAAATTATGGTGCCATTTGCTATTTTTCCTTTCATATTTGCCGATAGTGAATTGTCTGATGGTGTGACTTAAGGACTGTTTGAATAAACTACAAACTAGTGAATGATATATTTGATTGTTTTTTTTTCTTCAAAATAGACTCTTATTCTTACCGTCATTTTGTCTCATCTATTTCATTTTAATACTGTTTGATCCGTCCTAGCTGTCTATGTTAAAAAATTCCAACGGCTTATTCTATTTGAAGGTCCAAAAACACAGCGTCTGTCTGCTGAGAAGGAGGTGATGTTTGACCCTAAAATGCTGAAGTATATGTGTCGAGAAACAGCGGCAGCCATTAATACCGACATGGACGAGATAGGCTCTGGTGAAAAGGTCAAACAGGAATGCGAAATGTTTGAAGGCGAGGCTGGGAATCTCAATAACTCTCGTGTCGAAAAAACAAGTCAGCAGACAGTGACACAAGCGGAACCAACAGAGCTTGTATCGGGACCCCATTTGGACGTCAATGGAAACATTAATCTTTCTATGATTTAGAAAGTGACTTGCGCAAATAAAAAGAACTGTTTTCTCTCTCAATGCGTAGGGCTTTCTACGTTATTGTAAGCGTTGATATTGCAAGATAATTTTCAAGAACTGGAAAGACAGTCTGTGATTTTTTGTTATGTATGTGTATAATATTAACTGTACATACATTTATGGTCATTTGTTAGTAGTCGTGTACACGTTATCGTAATGAATACACAATTTATACACTGTTATACTGTATGAGTTATTTTTGTATGTAATACTGTGATCGATTGAAAAAAATGTATTATGATTGAGTCATGCAAGTTTTTATTCAGTAAAAGATATCTGTATGTGGTGTTTCTATTCATTAGTTTTCCTTCTTACTTTATTAAATTCGCACATAATAGTGGTCTCCTCGAGCATTTTTTTATAAAAAATATTATATATTATATCATAAATTGCATGCCCTTTTTTCACAGCTGCCATGTTTCTTTGCCTTTCCTCCGGACAAGCAAGGCTGTGAAAAAAGCGTTCCGACTTCAAAACGTTAGTTTTGATGTAATGCAAGACTTTTATCTGTGTGTCAACAACAGATTACATATCATCATATACAGGTTTCAAAATAGTTTTCTGTTTCTAATAATTTCATCAAATATTAAGTATTGTTGTATTACGTGTTATAAGGAGTAGCAATCTACCAAGTTTAGAGTAGAACATGCTGCTTGGAGTACATCTTCTCACATTAAGTAAATACGTTCTCTATGTACCGTATTCCACATCAGGAGCAACACTGATACCTAAATAATGTTAAGTTAAAATATTGACGAACAAGTACTAGCTGAGAATACCAGCAGGCTACGAAATCCTCCACAATGCTTGACATGACGTGGTGGGGAATGGCTGTCCTGTTAGAAAAATACCTTAGTGCAACATTTATCATTCTCAACAAGGATGTTTACACTCACTCCGAACACATGAACTGTTCTGTCCTTTCTAGACAACCAATGTTTTGTACCACAAGTGATAATTAAATTAATTGGTGACCTTATTTTCTAATTTGAAGATCTAACAAATGTTGGTTCTCCGGGTCTGATACAGCTTGTGACAATATCTACCAAACTATGGCCATACACTGGATGTGGTTATCACATTGCTAGTAAGCTATGTCACTCACGGAGTAATTTCTGTGTTAGATCCATGTCTGAATAACATTTAGGGGAACCAATCTGGTTATCATCTATGACTATATTCAGGTTCATGAAACCCAATCTAATTAAAATCATATGTTACATGGCTTCGTTAACTTCGTACTAAGCCAGAACATCTGAGTGTGCCGCGGTCAGGGTCACGTTCAGGTGACCTTTATATTTATAAATACTCATTAAATTTTGACCAATCAGAGACCCTCTTTCAAAAGGGCGCTAGGAGTTGTAACAAATATGTCGGACATTGATGAGAATGATGCGAAAGTTCTGAAGTTATTTGAGATTGATCGTCTGAAACCCGAACAGAAAAAGATATTCTAAGCTTTATTAGAGAAGAAATACTGTATGGCGGTATTGCCTACGCAATTATTACCCAATGGGTACGTTTTCCTTGGCGTCGTAGAAACGTCAGTACCCGCCGTCCTATTTGTTTTGGAAAACTCATCTACTCGATTCCCCTCGCTATTTATCTAACAACCATGATATTCCGATTCGCTGGCTATTTTTTTGCCAGCGCACCTCTGTTTGGTTCATCTAAAGGTCACTTGAACGTGACCCTGACCGCGGCACATTCAGATGTTCAGGCGGAGCCATGTAACAGATGATTTTAATCAGATTGCAGGAAATTGTTTTAATGCTCGAACCGCATGAATTTTATGCTGAAACCAAATTTCTTGTAACTCGTAAGAATATGTGAAATTATATTAAAAAATCTTAGAGTTAATACTGCGGAAGATATTCAGCTCTAAATCCTTCAAAATCATTTACAAATTGTGAAATTTTCTTAATTATCCCCTGAGGAAGAAATTGGGCTTAAATACAGATTCTGTGTTTGATTATGAGAATGGTTTCTTAATTACAAGCACATGGATACTGAATTAAAATTGAATTCTGGTATTCTGTTCCCAGCTCTAAGGCTGATTTTAATATGCACGGTATATATGACACTAAATTCTAAATGGTTAAGTGTTAAATGACACGATACATCATTTGGGTTTTCTCCTATCAAATTCGCTCAAGGACGTCTGAACAAGATGACACGGGTACTGGAGCTTATCGCCCGAGATAGGTATGCTGTGTTCTCTATTTCCCCATTATGTGTTATTTGAGAACAACGAGAAGGCAAGTATAGCTTGTATCATAATACCACTGTACTTTTCCTGTGATTTTGTTTATGATTAAGCAATTGCCAATACTTATGGGTTGCTTCGTAAAGTAGATAAGAATAATATGACCGCTTAATATATCTTGTCAGATGATATTTCCGCATATGTGTAGCTGTTTGTCTTCAAATGATAGGCGGCTTGATAAATGAAGTATAAGCAACTATATAAATAGACAAACTATGTAATTGATAATTGTTTTAATTAAGCAATGAATGTTTTAGCAAATGTTGTTATGTTCCTATAACACACAGTATTGCTATTGATGACAAACTTAATAAAGCCTGGAAGGTGCTCCTTGGGACGCGTCATGCTGAGAACGACGATAAACTCAAAAAGCTATGCACTTGCTAAATATGGCTACAACTTACGACTCGTAGACTTGACTTGCTACCAGCCTCTAGGTTTCTGTACAGAATTACTGGCTGCATTTCTCTAATAGCTCATCTGCCCCTAGTTTAAAACTTCGCAATCAGACATCAAAATAATCCAATTTAAAAACGTTATTGTTTGTTTTAAAGATTCTAGAGATAGGGCTAGTCTACAATGGGGATTGTAATGGAAGGTTGGTTTACGTTTTGTTAGCTTACACTGTGTTAAACTTAAACAAAAAATAAGCCGTTTAATTTATTTTCAAATCCAAACTGATGGTGTTATATGATAAAGTACAAAGTATAAACGTTTTGCTCAATTACTAATAAAAAGCGGCTAAAGGAATGATTATTCTGTATGTCACACTATTTTCAATAGGTAAGTGAACCAGACTCTTAGATACAAGTTATATCATAGGACGTGAGTTAGCGTAAATGTTAAGAAACACGCGAAACTTTATCTTGTTTAATGTATATTGAAACAACTTTCAGACAACATAAAACCGGTTATATATGCAGCACGCCTTACGCCGTCACACATGCCGGTTTGAGAGTGGGACTACAGATGTGCGCCATGCGATAAGGTGGGTACATATTATTCAACACTATAGCATAATTTTAGGTTCAGTTAAACATGTCCGAAACATGGGAGGTAATGGGAGGCATGACAATATTGTTAAGTGTTCCCGATGATAATATATTGCAAATATCAAAGATACTAATGATGTGTGTTCTCTTTCTGTCTGTTATTTATCAACTTCCGCTGAAAATCATCCTTTCAATGCCAAAATGAAATCTTCTGTAGTATCAATTTTAGCCTGACCCTCATGTACTTGAGCCAACAGAATCCATATGCAAGCTGATATTGCGTGTTAAACAAAGCATTCCATCACATTTGTTGTGGACTTTAATAGAACAAAAGGTACATAGCATACAATTAGAGAAACGAAAGTTCATTTATGTTAACAAAACAAAATTCCTCGGGAAAATGTCTGGTTGCCTATCCTGTCTCACATAGCTTGGGCTATTGTCGTTCACGGTAAGTATCACATTATTCTAGTGCTTATAATTTATTAAAGATTTTGACGAAGTTTGCTGCTAATGTATTATTCTAAAATACAATGACAAGTTTGATGTTGAACAGAGCAAATTAGCGACAAAATGTTGTAAGCGTCAATCTGTATAAGAAAATTTTGTAAAAAAATATGAAGCCTTATTTGAAAACTTTTCTTCATACTTGCATGAATATGTATTATGTTAACTTTGCCTGTGAAGTTCGGGGTAAGCGTTAAGAAATGATATTAAGACCTTATATCTTGATTTGTAAATCTGCACTTTGTGTAAAAAGGTCACCACTCAGTGCTGTTTTTCACTATGAGGTTAGTTGGCTCTACCTATAATGAAAGAGGCCGCTGGTCAGCCGCCTATTATCGGAAATCTTGGCAGCGACTTTTTTCCGGACTATTCCTTCTTTGATGCACTCTCTGACGGATATCAGGCTGAAAGATAGGCTCTAAAAATCACTTCAGTGGATGAATGACAACAATGTATGCTAACTTTTCATGTGATATTGATCCTATTTAAATGATACACGTACAGAACATATCGTCGAATATTACACAAAAACACATTCTCTATGTACGACTTATTTTTTACAACATGGTTGTATCGGTTTTTATATTGAACTTTTTAAAATTGGACAAACAGAGCTAGAAAAGGGGACCTTCAAAGATACGTTTAGTATAAATCAGCTTACCATGGTCTCCATTGCGTAAACAAATTGAACATTTTTGTAATGCTGGAAATATCTCCAACAAGTAAACGGAAATAAAATGGTTTCAGTCGCCTGACTTTTCAATCATCCCTGGTACTAAGATTTATCATTATTAACTGTAGTTGGGTTAATTTGAAATTGAATACTTGCACAAACACATACAGAATCTCTTTTGCAGTTAAAATTCTTTATACAAGCCAAACTACTGCAGTCGTAGATCTGAAAAAAGATGCCGTGTTTGTCCTCTGAAGCCAACCTCATGACGCTGAAGGCACTGCTGATATTCCTGTCGCAAGGGGTTGTTGTTAAGGCCTCCATCAAGGGAACTATAGTAGACCTGCAGAGACTAAATGACACTTTGTTTGAGAGCTACACATCTGAGTTCAGACCTGCTTTTTACCTTAACCACACAGTAGATATCTACATCCATTATAATCTCTTCTCTGTCATCGACTTCGACGTCATCACCGAGACCATCTCTCTGTCTGGAGCTGTTGGTATGCGGTAGGTGTAAACTACACCAGTTTTTTCTTCCGCATTAATTGATTAAGTTTCAAATTCAGAAGTACTAGTTAGGGGGCATATATAATCTTTAATGCAGATTTCATAGACCCATTACTGTCTTGAACAGAAATATCGCGATAGGATCACGGATCTGCTCGGCTGGATAACAAAGGGACAAAGAACTTAAACTATTCCAATGACCTTTGCTATTACAGGATTTTCTCCCTTGTTTCTTTTTTCCTCGATATTTGTTGTAACCGTTTTTTTATGCGGAGTGGTAGGACTTCAAATGAAGACTACTGTCTGGTCTGTGTCTTCCCACCGATATATTGTGGTGGTGAGTGAGTAACATTGACTGCGAATGCAGTATAATGATTTTGTTGTTACTTTCTTTATTCAGTTGGAAAGACTATCGACTAGAGTGGGACCCGCAGGAGTATGGAGGTGTTAAACAGATTATACTACCGGCTTCCCAGGTATGGTACCCCAAGATCGTCCTATTAACAGGCATGTCCAACATACAACAGGTGGGATCAGAGGAATTTGACATCTACGTTGAATACACCGGCACTGTGATATGGGCTCCAGGAGGTGTTCTCATGTAATGTATTATTGTCATTTATTAATACTTACTAATGAACGTGACCCTGACCGCGGCACATTCAGATACAATTGCTCTTACCCATATCAGCCCTCGCCGTATCACACCCCAAAAGCCGTATCAGCCCCCGCCGTATCACACCCCAAAACCCGTATCAGCCCGCAAAACCCGTATCACACCCCTTTTGGATTTTTTTTCGTTTTTCAATATTTCAAAAGAAAAAAAAATATCGTAAGATAGTAGCTTTTATTAGCAAGTATGTAATAAACAGAATAAATCATGACTTTTTCCACACACCCTTTTTTTTTTCGTTTTTCAATATTTCAAAAGAAAAAAATATCATAAGATAGTAGCTTTTATTAGTAAGTATGTTATAAACAGAATAAAACATCACTTTTTCCATATCACACCCAGTATCAACCCTCGACTAATATCAGCCCTCGGGCCTTCGGCCCTTGGGCTGATATTGCAGTCTCGGGTTGATACTGGGTGTGATATGGAAAAAGGCATGTATTATTCTCTATATATTAAATAATAGATTATACGTACCTTATACTTTCATTAGTTTAAAATTGCAAATCGTACTTATTTGTCTAGTTACCTGTTCTCAACATTAGATGTGTAATTTCTTATGGTTTATCTTGAACTTTCGATATCTCGATTTATACATTTGTATTTAAACAAATCACGCCGCTATGCACATTGCAATCATACTTTAAACTAAAAAAAAAATGCAAATTCTCTTATGTGATTTTTCATCGCTGATAAATCCGGAAAATATTTAGTGTAAAGTTTGCATTTCCTGTTAGACAAATGAATTTTAATCTCACGTGACAAAATGAATTTGTTATATTTGAACCCAGATACCATAATGAATTATATTACGTTCGTTTCGCCAGGTCATCTTGTAAAGCGAACATGCGTGACTTTCCTAGAGACTACCAAACGTGTATGCTCATCCTTAACAACATGGTCTATGACAAGGAGGAGATGAGACTCGTACCCGGACAATCATTTGTGGATATGGAATTCTATACCAAGAACGGCGAATGGGAAGTCATCTGGACCAAAGTCTCGAACAAGGTTGACAGATTTGAGAAGTTGACGTCTATCTCATTCGTGTCCATAACGATCGGTATTATCCGTAAGTCGGAATATTTTGTTATCACCATGCTAATTCCGGTGGCCGTTCTATGTGTTTTAGATGCCTTTGTGTTCATGATTCCTGTGGGGGCAAGTGACAGAGTTGGATTTTCTTTGACTCTCTTTCTAGCTCTGACAGTCTACATGTCTGTGATGGGGTCTTTTTTACCAACGACCTCTGAACCCTTGGCAGGAATGACATATTTTTTGTTGGCGTCGGAAATACACTGTACCTTCGTGATTTTGATGACCATTGTCACCATTCGTTTATACGACAGAGAACATCTACCTGAATGGTTGGTTCGCTTGTACCGACTACCATTTAGGAAAAGTAGACAGAGTAAACAACAAAAGAATGCTGACGAATCCTATGAGAATATCCCACTAGACAAGGGAGCTCGTGAGTCTGCTCAAGGAGAGGACAGTGAAGCTCAGACGAGACGCTCTTTGTTGAGCATTTTAGACAAGTTTCTTTTTATATTTTTTCTTTCTACAATGGTATTGATGAGTATTGTCTTCTTCAGTACGTACCTTAATCACGATCACGATCATGATGCGAAATGATGAATAACCTCACACAGAAATGGTCATGGGTTATAACTTGCACTCCCACTACATTTTTAATTTGATAACACAATTCATAATGTGTTTGACCCTGCTTCTTAGATTAACAAGTCCCCGAGGTATGACATAACCTTATAACCACAGGAATTCCTTTTGAGAGGTAGTACGGATAATAAAATATACATATTACCCATTATTAGTTATTTATTTTCTAAATTTGAAACTCATACAACTAAGGGTTTGTGAATAAATTTCATCTTTCAATAGGACCTATGTTACAAAATGTTGTCATTCAAACAATCGCTGATGTAGATTTTAATACTTACATATTATATACGTGGATGTTATCGACGAAGCGTTAAACCAGTATGAGTGGTATATTGTACGCGTAGAATTGTGCTAATACATGTACTAGTACGTCTACAGTAACAACCCCACTGCAGAGAAAACACTAGAGAATTCCACTGTAGTTTTTAGACCTACATCAACTCTCCTGAATTTCGTTTTGGGTACTTCAGATCAGGTAAAGTAATAGTATCGTGTTCGCAGGTTCAGGGCTCGAATCCCAGTCTGGTTCTGTTGTATCTTAACTCTCCTAACATACCTCTTGATATATTTCTTGTTTATTTCATCTGTTTAGGTTTTTTCCATTAAATTTGCAAAAGGTATTGGTTTATAGAAATTATTTGTAAAAGCTTTCGTTTTTGCTGGTTAAAAGTTCCCTATTTATACAATGTAATTTATACAGTGTAACATTACTATTGTAATGCCTTGACCTGAGAAACGGAATGTCTTACTGCAGACTTTTTATTTGGTTTAGGTGTATTGAAGCGTAATGTGAAAAGGATACTTCACGTTTAATTTGCGGTAACCCTGTCCCTAGGTTCGTGATTATCTTACTGGAAATATGTGTTAATGTGTTGAATACGTTGATTTGCCTTATTCCTTGGGTAATGTTCGATCCCTTTTATTGCTCGCACACCTTAGAATATCATATTAAGGAAACACTGTCTGCAATCTGCCGCGGGATATCTTCTACATAAAAAACTGTTATTCACAATGTAAAACAGGTCGACTCCGAACGTCAGGTATACCTTTTCTTATCTGGATATACATCAATGCTAGTAATCATGGATTCCAGTTAAGATATACTTGTAATTTGTGGCAACTCCTAAAACACCACCAAGTACTTCTCGTAGACGATATTTTACAGTGCCGGTAATATTACACAACTTTTAATGCATACAATTTCTGATAAAACTTTTATAATACAATTATGTTATGTTTTTGTTTAAGATGTATACTATTTTGGAATTTAAGAAAGATGTCGCTTAGCACGCACTTGTTATAGATATTTGGAATCATTTCGTCATATTGCCTGCTTGACTGTATAGCAATATTATCATAGTTGAAACTTGTATAACCTTGCATCCTTACACCGTTCACAAATCAATTGTATGACAATCGCATGAACGATTAAAGATTCGCAAGTGTCATGGCAGACTTCAAAAGGTGTCTACTTAAAAGATTTAGAGAGCGCTTTGTTTTTGTTTCAAGGTCAATACCAAATGAAAAAGAAGTGAAAAAATCTGATAGAAAACGTAGCCCAAGTTTCCTCTGGCCCTAACACCAGACATGGACATTTTGAGATATAGATGTCTGGTGTGGGACCAGAGCGCACTGCTATATGAAAACGTGGAATTCTCCGACACCGTTTGGTATCGGAGAGTTATAAGGTGCTGACAACAAAAATCTACCATGACACAACACATGCCTCACATATATCGGTAAATGGATAACTTATTTATCCAAATCAGGTGATTGACTCAATTCTTAATGCGTTTTCATGACGTTCATGACGGCCATTCTAGTGTTTAAATGATTCCAAACGTTGTTTGTGCATTATCAAAATATTCGAATATTTGACATGCAATGATTAATTCGATGTATACATAGAGATGTAAATAACGCTTGTAATATGTTTAAAACAGCGTGTCTCAATTAATTCAATAAAGGTGATTCGCAAAAGAAACTTATAAGAGGGAGCTGACATTCAGCTGACTGAAAAAGTAAGGGGAGAGGGTGAATAAAAATAATGTCTCGGGACCTAACTAGGAGAGCACAAGAACTTCCTGCACCACTTTTCTTAAGTAAACAGTGGTTTCACCTTACTCGCCGTACATACAGGTCTTAAATGCATTATACTTATACTACATACTTACATATAATGACATAACATTGCGTTTTTGACATATTTCACATGTAATGATTTAATGTAGACTAAGAGCCCTGTCTGTGTCTTGGCGTGGTACGTTACGATCCCTTTTAAACGTAATGTCCCCTTACTGGGTTGACTTTATAAAGATCACTTCCTCTATATGTTCGAACAAAACAACACATTTTTCTGACATTTTCATGACGATTTCGAATATATTATATTCAATCATCATAACTATCTCATCCGTTGTGCAACTGGATACTTTTGGTCTATTCACAGACTTATCATAGTTTTACCAGCCTATGGTTTTCAGCTAGAACTAGATATTGAGAGCACCCCACTGCATCCATGTAATGTTGTCTTTCTCCGTCAATAATGCATGTATCTCAGTCACTCTAACTACCGAAACCACTGCTAAAAGGAACACTTTTTAAGAGACAACCATCTCAATTAAGCCTCTAGAAATGTCCGAAGGGTGTCTTTGTCAGTTTAACTTAAACCAAGAAACCAAAGATCGCACTTCATATATAAAGCCCACCATTAAGCTTAGACAAGATCCAGTCTAATCTAATCATCATTTCCCATCGTTTATGAATGAAGGCAGCTAGCGCACAAACCATGGCAAATGTCTTTTACACAAGGAGATCCATTCAGATGAAAGTTCGCCGCTGAACCAGAAGGCTTGCAAAGGTATTTTGCACGTTATGGGTAAACATTGGATATATCTGTTTACAACGAGAGAAAGGTAAGGCTGAACTCAGGCTACAAGCCAATGCCCGAAATAGGTAATGTTTTCCGTGGATGCAAAACCTCAGAAACCTTCTATCTCGAGTGAGTCCTCTGGAGGTCACGAGTACCTTTCGTTATCTAGTAGACTGCAAGATTCTGCAATTTAAATATGAAAAAGACATTGCTTCTTTCTCAACGTCCATGGACAGCCTTTTTCACCAGTCTTCTGTGAATCTTTTAGGCGTAGCTGAATTCTCTTGACAGCCGACCAGGTTTGCTAACGTTCCAATTGAACGTGTAAAATATTCCCTTCACGCACTTTATGAAGTTTTTAAAATGTCCACATCTGTGATTGATTTGCGTCACAAAAGATACCGAGGATACAGTGTAGATATGGTACGTACTACATGTAGGAGTAGGGCGTGTTTGATTTGTTTTATTGCGGACGATTTGTACGTTGCCCAAAGAATTTGCCTTATGTTCAGTCATGCAATTAGAATTTGGGAGTAAAGTAAACTAAGACTTAATTCTACAATGAAAACATTAGATGATTCTTTTTTTTTGGATGCCAATATGTTTTTAAGGGGTGTTTGTGTCAGGACGAAATATTCTACGCTGCTATGGCACAAAAGTTACACACAAAATTCCAATGGCCAACTACCGCCCAACACGTATTTACGATCAAGCATCTAAATAAGTTAAATTAATTTGATAATATAAGGTTTATCTACAGCAATAAATATGATTTGCAGTTATTATATGACGGCAAATGAAGTAAAATATACTGAATGTGTCTTAAAATGTGAACAGAAAAGTTATTGAAAAAAACCTTGAAATTACAAAATCTCTTAATTGATGAAGGTCAACTCTTTCTACAAAGTAACATCATGTTGAAATGCCATGGGTTATCTCCTCTACTATGCATATTTGGCATGTTGATATGTATCAAATACTTGATATGGGGATATATTTTTCTTATCTCTAGAAGGTACACCTTCCTACTGTAAATTTACGCTTAATATTAACAAGTCTGTGTCTTTTTCCTGTTATGTTTATTACATCAGGATTTTGTCATCAACAATCTTAAATACTATGTCCGTTTACTGATAGATATGTGATGTCAGTATATATTTGATCACTACAGTTTATCAATACTATGTCTGATTCCTGATATGTATGTGACGTCAGAATGTATTCTGTCACCACCGTTCATCAACAATATGTCTGTTTCCTGATATGTATGTGACCTCATTATATATTCGGTCTTTACCGTCCATAAACGCTATTCCTGACATGTTTGTGACGTCAGTATATATTCGGTCACTACCGTTCATCAACAATATGTCTGTTTCCTGATATGTATGTGACGGCAGTATATATTCGGTCACTATCGTTCATCAAAACTACGTCTGTTTCCTGATATGTATGTGACCTCAGTATATATTCTGTCTCTACCGTTCATCAACTAACGTCTGTTTCCTGATATGAATGTGAATTCAGTATTTATTCGGTCTTAACCGTTCATCAACAAAATGTCTGTTTCCTGATATGTATGTGACCTCAGTATATATTCGGTCATTATCGTTCATCAAAACTATGTCTGTTTCCTGATATGTATGTGTCGTCATTATATATTCGGTCTTTACCGTTCATAAACGCTATGTCTGTTTCCTCGTGATTATGTGACGTCACTACTTATTCGGTCACTACCGTTCATCAACACTATGTGTCTGTCTCCTGATATGTATGTGACGTCACTACTTATTCGGTCACTACCGTTCATCAACAATATGTCTGTTTCCTCGAAGTTATTAGACGTCACTACTTATTCGGTCACTACCGTTCATCAACACGATGTCTGATTTCTGATATGTATGTGACCTCAGTATATATTCGGTCTTTACCGTTCATCAACAATATGTCTGTTTCCTGATATGTATGTGACGTCAGTATATACTCCGTCACTATCGTTCATCAACTCACGTCTGTTTCCTGATAAGTATGTGACGTCACTACTTATTCGGTCTTTACCGTTCATCAACAATATGTCTGTTTCCTGATATGTATGTGATGTCAGCATATACTACGTCACTATCGTTCATCAACTCACGTCTGTTCCCTGATAAGTATGTGACCTCAGTATATATTCGGTCTTTTCCGTTCATCAACAATATGTCTATTTTCTGGTATGTATGTGATGTCAGCATATACTCCGTCACTATCATTCATCAAATCACGTCTGTTTCCTGATAAGTATGTGACGTCACTACTTATTCGGTCTTTACAGTTCATCAACAATATGTCTGTTTCCTGATATGTATTTGACGTAAGTATATTCTCCGTCACTATCGTTCATCAACTCACGTCGGTTTCCTGATAAGTATGTGACGTCACTACTTATTCGGTCTTTACAGTTCATCAACAATATGTCTGTTTCCTGATATGTATTTGACGTAAGTATATTCTCCGTCACTATCGTTCATCAACTCACGTCGGTTTCCTGATAAGTATGTGACGTCACTACTTATTCGGTCTTTACCGTTCATCAACAATATGTCTGTTTCCTCGAAGTTATTAGACGTCACTACTTATTCGGTCACTACCGTTCATCAACCCTATGTGTCTGTCTCCTGATATGTATGTGACGTCACTACTTATTCGGTCACTACCGTTCATCAACACGATGTCTGATTTCTGATATGTATGTGACCTCAGTACATATTCGGTCTTTACCGTTCATCAACAATATGTCTGTTTCCTCGAAGTTATTAGACGTCACTACTTATTCGGTCACTACCGTTCATCAACAATATGTCTGTTTCCTCGAAGTTATTAGACGTCACTACTTATTCGGTCACTACCGTTCATCAACACTATGTGTCTGTCTCCTGATATTTATGTGACGTCACTACTTATTCGGTCACTACCGTTCATCAACACGATGTCTGATTTCTGATATGTATGTGACCTCAGTATATATTCGGTCTTTACCGTTCATCAACAATAAGACTATTTTCTGATATGTATGTGATGTCAGCATATACTCCGTCACTATCGTTCATCAACTCACGTCTGTTTCCTGATATGTCTGTGACGTCAGTATATATTCGGTCACTTCTGTTCATCGACACTATGTCTCTTGATATGTATGTGACGTCAGCATTTATTTGGTCACTATCGTTTATGTATGTGACGTCAGTATTTGTTCGACTATTCTCACAAGTTACGGTTGATTTTCTTTAGAAATAATTATTTTACAATTATATCTCTTTACGTTGTCATACTATGGGAGTCAGTTTATGATGACTACCGGGGCATTCTTAATGACAGACGGATGCATCTCCTTTAGGCCGTTTGCCTATGTAATGAATATCACAACAGTTTAATACATAGCTGGTAGGTCTACTAACAATTTAGCCTAGATAAAATATCGTTTCTACATTGCTGAGCGTACCAGACATTGTACCCGACAGACTCGTATTTCATGTCTCCAGAAGTGATACAATCGTGATACCTGAGCGAGCGTAATACGAAGTAAGGCCCAGATATTTTCAATCTAATTAAAATTATATCTTCACATCGCTCCCGTTTACTGATATGTCGCGTTGAAGATCTAACAACATCCCATAGAGGGTCACGTCAGAGGTCAACATGAATGCATTATCGTATTTATAACAAGCCAATCAAAACGCGACATAACTCTTTCTTTCAACCAATCAGAAAGCAGGACCTGTAGCATTTAATGCAGACACCTCGTAGCCCAAAATCTACTTTTTCGTCTGGTCCAGTGATAGTTTGAATATTGCGAAACCTGTCATTGGTTAATTTTAGTTTCAGGTTGTTAAACGTTTTAACGACAACATCACCAGAAGAGGAAGTCTCTCTTATTTCAAACCAAAATCCACAAATTGTACAAACGTTGTCCCGTAGATAGACACGGCGTGGTGTCATGGGCGCCGCCATTTTCGATGCTCATAGCAAGTTCGTTCCGAAATCATTACATCATCACTTACAGAAATGCGTAAGCTCTCATCTGATTGGTTAATGCAAAGGTCGCCTGAACATGACCCTCTACGGGATGTTGTTAGATCTTCAACGCGACATATCAGTAAACGGGAGCGATGTAAAGATATAATTTTAATTAGATTGAGATATTTTTAAACCACCTTCAAACTTACTGGTTTAATAGAAATGCACACATATTCAAAGAAATCCCCTGTTTGTGAGGTTAGTTGAAGAGGAAGTCACTGTGTCAGGTGAGTATCAGAAGATTACTGATTTACATGTAACCTTATTTCGTGAAGCAATTGAAAACCAGCTGAAAGCGTTAAGTCACATTTATCAATAATGGTCATTTCAATCGAGCCGTGTGTGCATCTTTTCATTACAAATGACATATTAGAAACATATTTCTATTTTCATTATATAACTTTACTCCTCCAACCTTTTATGTCACTTATTTCTCTATTTTACTTGTTTAAAATATTGCTAGAACTAAACATTAGTGGTGTGTAACAAAAGTGGGTTGATAATGGCACCATGTCGACCATTTATTGGGCTTAATGTCCTCTCCTGATTGGCCGTTAAGCATATATTAATAACAATTAAGATAAAGTATTGGCGACCGAATGCCTACGTACTCTCTACGTTTGTTGCTGTAATATGACTTTCTCATGTACATATATCCAGGTCCATTTTGTGTCAGGGTGTGTAATATGTCATGACTACTGTTTCTCAGATAGGCGACGCTGTAACATAGACGTTTTTTGATATATTTTTTCCATTAGTCAATATTATCTTATTAAATCATAACTAAATACAATCATGATATCTAATTTCTGGTTTACAAGATCGTAATATTAATTTTTGCTGAACATGGTAGCATGCATATACGGAGTTCGGTCACACATTGGTGAAAACATTGTTATATAGGGCTGTAAAGAAAGAATGCTTGGCTTAATTGACTTGCTAAGCAGAAATGGTCGTCCCTATAAAAGCTTCCCTTATGGGTTTATTTTTCTTATAATTTCTGCTTATAAGATTGTTTCCCCTTAACAATCGTCGATAAGCAACAAGGGTGTTATATATGCACTAACAGTAATATGAAGGGACGATTTGCCAATTTCTTTGAAGGAAAATATTGAAATATACTGTCTTAGTCCCTAGCTGAGTATTGTTAAAGTTCCTACAAAATGTAGCCGTGTGTTATTTTAGTTTCAAGCCGTGTCATGTCTCAGTCCCTAGCCATGACATATATAAGGTCCTAACCGTGTCATGTCTCAGTCCCTAGCCATGGCCTATCTAAGTTTCTAGTCGTGTCATGTCTTGGTCCCTAGCCATGGATTATCTAAGTGCCTAGCCGTGTCATGTTTCAGTCCCTAGCCATGGATTATCTAAGTTCCTGGTTGTGTCATGTCTCAGTCCCTAGCCATGGATTATCTAAGTTCCTAGCCGTGTCATGTCTCAGTCCCTAGCCATGGAGTATCTAAGTTCCTAGCCGTGTCATGTATCAGTCCTCAGCCATGGAATATCTAAGTACCTAGCCGTGTCATGTCTCAGCCCCTAGCCATGGATTATCTAAGTTCCTAGTCGTGTCATGTCTCAGTCCCTAGCCATGGAGTATCTAAGTTCCTAGCCGTGTCATGTATCAGTCCTCAGCCATGGAATATCTAAGTACCTAGCCGTGTCACGTCTCAGCCCCTAGCCATGGATTATCTAAGTTCCTAGTCGTGTTATATCTCAGTCCCTAGCCATGGATTATCTAAGTTCATAGCCGTGCCATGTCTCAGTCCTTAGCCATGGATTATCTAAGTTCCTAGTCGTGTCATGTCTCAGTCCCTAGCCATGGAATATCTAAGTTCCTAGTCGTGCCAAGTCTCAGTCCCTTACCATAACTTATCTTAGATCCTAGCCGTGCCATGTCTCAGTTCTTAGCCATATTATTTTAGCCCCTAGCTGTGTCATGTCTGATTTCCTTACCGGATATTGTCTGAGTTCCTTGCTATGACATATAACAGACCCTAGCCGTGTCATATCTTAGTTCCTAGCCATGACTTATTTTAGCCCCCTGTTGTGTCAAATCTGAGTTTCTATCCATGACTTATATTTGTCCCCAAGCCGTGTTAATTCTGAGTTCCTAGCCATGACTTATATTTGCCCCTAGCTAGGTAATATCTGAGCTCCTAGCCATGACGTTTTTTAGCCCCTAGCTGTATCATATCTGAATTCCTAGTCATGACGTATTGCAATCCCTAGCTATGTCATGTCTGAGTTCCTAACCATGACTTATTTTAGCCCCTAGCTGTGCTATGTCTGAGTTCCTAGCCTTGACTTATATTAGCCCCTAGCTATGTCATATCTGAGTTCCAAGCCATGACTTATATTAGCCCCTAGCTAAGTCATGTCTGAGTTTCTAGCCATGACTTATTTTAGCACCTAGCCATGACTTATTTAGCCCCTAGCTGTGTTATGTTTCTCATTTCCGAGCCGTGACTTATATTAGCCCTTAGCTATGTCCTGTTTGAGTGCCTGGCCATGACGTATTTTAGCCCCTAGCTATGACTTATTTAGCCCCTAGCTGTGTTATGTCTCATTTCCAAGCCGTGACTTATATTAGCCCATAGCTATGTCATGTCTGAGTTTCTAGCCATGACTTATTTTAGCCCCTAGCTGTGTCATGACTGAGCGCATGAATTGTTTCAGTCCTTAGTTGTGTAAAGTCTTAGTCCCGTATCGTGTTAGACGGGTAAATCCTTGTCCTTAGCCGTATTTTGGTGTTTTTGACATGCATTAAATATAATACGAAGTACCAATTTTTCTCCACGAAATAAACTCACATGATGACTTTAGATGTTTGAACGGTAAAGCTGTAACACAGTGAAGTGAATGTACCTGGTACCTTCTTTATCAGATAAACAGCTTTAATAAAACGACTGTTTATCTTGTTCGTCATGATATCATCTATTTCGGATAAGAATGCTATAAATTAAACCTTTTGAAGTAAAAGATATCGTGAAGTATGGGACGTAATTTATAATCTATGTTTTACCTGGCTGACAAACATGATGACACAACATATATATTTACCTGGCCCAGATCGCTACTGTACCGTGACTGTAATAGTAAACGGTAGGCAAATATTATTAGGAAAATGATATGTTTTGGTGTAAGAATATATCAATAAATTATAACCATCCGAAAACTCGCGTTATAGTCTAGTTTACTATGACATTGAAAACTCCAATGTGGATAACTCATAATTCTTGAATATTGGTAAGAACTGTAATCTACAAACAAAAGTAAATTAGAATCATGTTTCGATGAAAGGTTAGCGTCAAATGGTGCCTGGTAATATATCTTTAAACCAAGCTACACAAACAAAGTTTAAGCTTTTAAAAGATGGTAGAATCAAACACGTTTTCAAATCGATCAAGCACAGATTTGTATGAATTTATCAAATGAAACTTTTGTCTAACATTAAAAATGTTTCGCAGTGCTTCTGAATGTTTTTCAATGCGTAATACATATATATCAATATCCTACTATTTTCCTCTTCAGTACTACAGCGGAAGTCTGAAGACTAGTTGCATAAAAAGTACCTAAAAATAAAAAAAAAACCAATTAGTGCTTTTAGGGGTACAAACGCTTCTAAGGATGTATTCTATTTTAACCTTCATTGTTAATGATAATTTATTAATATATTTCCCTCTTTCCTGTACATGTATGAGTTACTCTCCCGGGGAGGGAGTGACCTCACGAAATCGAAAACATTCCGATGCCGCGATGCGGAAATTTCGACGCCTTTTTTCAGGACTCTGAGCTAATTCTGATGCTTCGAATAGGAGAAAAATACTCTTTGATTCCAATTGGGATTTTCATTTTGGCGTAAAACCATCGGCAAGCTTCATGCTTTACCTAATTTGAAAAAACAACTTTCGTTGGATTTTTCTCTTTCCCATATCCTTGGGCATGAAAGAGTCTTTTCCGGTTGTCAGAAAAACACTTCATTTTAAGCAAAAGAATCCCTTACAGCCACTTCCATGTCTTGTGCTTTTTCAACTAGCTTTTCCCTTGGCCTTATGAAATATATTGGGCAGAAGTGGGAGACCAAAATAAGTTATTTTGTAATTCATATTTCTGACTGGAAAAAGACTTATTTTATCTAATTATTCAGGAGATATTTTAAATAATACATTTTTGAATTAATTTGGCCATAGCAGATATCTTTAAACCCACTTCTCATTCAGGGAAAGAGTGTTTGGTAGAAGCATACATCTTGATCGACAGACATTAGGGACGACTGTTTGTCTTCATCGTATTTGAATATTTGAAAAAAGGTCGTTTGCCAAACGCATGGTGTTTCGATTGCTGTCAAAGACATAGAAAGGATGCCATTACAACTTCATGTATCGACGATCCTTTTCTATACTTAAGGGGCGACCTCTTTTCGTCGAACCTTTGATTTAAACTGCAACAGGTGGTTACACCTTGTGTGTTCTGTGACCGTATCTGATAGATGGTGCCACACCAATGATATCATCACCACCAACACATGTTAAATCACGAAATAGTGACCACTTATACATGACTTGATGACGACGGTGTTCAAGTCTCGAAGACAGGGGATTCCGGGATGTCATTGGCTTATTAAATAAAAGGGATATCAAAACATAAAAGCCTAATTTCCTACCCAAAGCCAGCGATGTGTTTTGGTGTGGAGTCGGCAGATGACAGGATAAAAAATACATATGCGTGAAATACCAAACCCCAAACTAGAAATACCAAACCCAAAACTAGAAATACCAAACACAATAGCCAAACTCCTGTAGGTTCACTTCGCTTCGCCTTACGATCACGTCTTACCACATATTCCCCTGACAATGGTTTATTTGCAGACAGATTGATGACAATGAGCACATTATTCTGATTTTAAGTGTTATGTAAGGGTATCGTCAAAAAGAGTGTAATTACAAAACTATTTAGAAGAAAGTGAGAGAAATGGAAGGATACTTTCACACACTCAATTTGTCTGAACGCAAACAGAAATGATAAACTCAAACAACCAAAATCATACACAACAGAACATCAAACAAATGATAGGTAGTACAAAATGATTGTTTACAAATAGTCTGATTAAAGTATAAATCAGATATCATCAAACTACATCAAAGGTTTCACTAATAAACTTCATCAAGGTGAAATATAAATTGTAAACAATCTTCCTCAAGCTTATCGAATCTCAGTAAACTACGGCGCGAAAAACAATATAAATTCCACGTGGCTAGTCTTTCACAATCAAAGTCTGACGCGATAAAACGTGACTTTATAAACAGATAAACGGCTAAACGAAACAAGCAGTTGGTTGAAATTTTAATCCGCTTCTTACTCTTAACAGCATACACTTATTTTCCTTAACATGCAAAAGTAATAACACTCAGGCATGACACAGATATGGGCTAAACTAAGTCATGGCTAGGAACTCATACATGACACAGCTATGGGCTAATATAAGTCATGGCTAGTAACTCATACATGACACAGCTAGGGGCTAATATAAGTCATGGCTAGGAACTCATACATGACACAGCTAGGGGCTAATATATAAGTCATGGCAAGGAACTCATATATGACACAGCTAGGGGCTAAAATAAGTCATGGCTAGGAACTCATACATGACACAGCTAGGTGCTAATGTAAGTCATGGCTAGGAACTCATACATGACACAGCTAGGGGCTAAAATACGTCATGGCTAGTAACTCATACATGACACAGCTAGGGGTTAATATAAGTCATGGCTAGAAACTCATACATGACACAGCTAGGGGCTAATATAAGTCATGGCTAGGAACTCATAAATGACACAGCTAGGGGCTAATATAAGTCATGGCAAGGAACTCATATATGACACAGCTATGGGCTAAAATAAGTCATGGCTAGGAACTCATACATGACACAGCTAGGGGCTAATATATAAGTAGTGGCAGGGAACTCATATATGACACAGCTAGGGGCTAAAATACGCCATGGCTAGTAACTCATACATGACAAAGCTAGGGGTTAATATAAGTCATGGCTAGAAACACATACATGACACAGCTAGGTGCTAATGTAAGTCATGGCTAGGAACTAATAAATGACACAGCTAGGGGCTAATATAAGTCATGGCTAGGAACTCATATATGACACAGCTAGGGACTAATATAAGTCATGGCTAGTAACTCATACATGACACAGCTAGGGGCTAATATTTATTTTAGAAATAAGTACATGTATCAACTGTGTGTTGACGAACACTTATCCGAAAAGTATACAATATTTGGGATTTATATGCGGTTAGAATCTAAGGTACAGATATTAATTATTGAACATCGTAGTTACAACTGCTACCTAGCCAAACAGATGTATATGCGTTATTACACAAAAAATGCTTTAAAACTAAGTCTTTTCACCACTTTAGATGTCACCACTTTATGCGAAGCAAATATCACTGAAGACATTTGTGATGGTCCTGCCGCTAGGGGGAGTTGTCACGGCAACCAGGACGATGAAGACGTTACTGATGGTCCTGTTTCTAGGGAGTGTTGTCAAGGCCACAGGGACAATGAAGGATATTGAGACATTAAATGACACCTTATTCGAGGAATACAGATCCGAGTTTCGACCGGCGTTTTACAATAACGACACAGTAGACGTCGAACTCCAGTACTACCTGTACTCCGTCATTGACTTCAATGTCGTCAACGAGATTGTCTCATTATCTGGAATTATGAGAATGATGTAGGTAACGCTTCGTAATGTGTCATTGATTTGTATAAAGCTCTCTACGAGTAAACTCTGTAGACAGTTATGAATCGGTTAACTGTCCAGTATATGCACATCCTATAGTTAGATATCATCACGTCCAATCATGAGGACGGGCAATTTGTATTGTCCTATGCACTTACTTGTCTTAAACGGAAAACTGATTGCAGAAATATAATATATCACAACCAGTAAGTGATAACGTGTGACGCTTCGTCGACTAATACGGTACGTACCCTGTCATCTTCATCAGACAAATGACCAGTGAAGCATGTACACAAAGTTGTAAAAGATGAACTAGTTGGCAATATAAAATCGGCGTCGATTAGGATACGCGATAGGCGTATGCACACTTAAGTTGTAATCCGTGTACGAAATGAAAAATCAAACCGACTCGGTTCGGCTACGTATTGTTTAACACCTAATCATAGATGTGCGATAGTCTAAGATCCCCCTCATCTCGGTTCGGAACTGCCCTACTTTGAGATATCCAGATGGTTTCCTTTATCTGCCGCTTGAACAGGTTGCTCTTTCTGTCCAGTGCTTGGGCTTATCCCAGTCAACATGATCTTGCTGCAGAACATAGTCTGTGATTGCCGATTTATCTATCTGGTACTCTGACATCTTCCCTTCAGATCAGATGAATTGTTTTCCTCTTTGGGTGTCCGTATCTTTCCGGTGTTCACTAAGCCTGACCCCAAAGCGCCTTTCAGTTTCTCCGATATGGAAAACGTCACATGTAAACACTTATTGGTTGTGATACATAGGCTTTCTACAATTCATACTTACCAACCTAAAGAAAATGTTTACAAGAATAATAATTAAACAGAACAAACACAGTAGAATGCGTTACCGAATGTCAGTCTAAAACCATTTCATCATGGATATTTAAGTACCTATATATACAAATATATATTTATAGATAGTACTCATAGCTATAGTTTTAACAGAGCTACATAATTGTCATATTTCCTTGTCCAGCTGGAAGGATTATCGCCTGACGTGGGACCCACAGAAGTATGGTGGCGTTGAAGGGATGGTGCTACCGGCTAACCAGGTGTGGTTACCTACTATAGTTTTGATGACAGCCGTGGATAGTATAGGACATATTGGATCAGAGGATTTCAGCGTCTACGTCCACTACAGCGGAGAGATTTACTGGAATCCAGCCAACATACTCATGTAATATGGTGTTGTTGTTGTAACAAAGTACTTATATTGTAACTATTTTGATGAGACAGAGGGGTGGAATTCTTATAACAAATATTTTTACAGTAATATCGAATATCTTTATATGAGGGGCTATATCATGTTTAAGTGACAATTTAGAGTTATAGAATTGGCACAAGAGCAATAGTTACTTTATTGCCCTGGAAATGCAACCTTTTCCCGTAGGTTTAAAACTGAGCAAAACAACTTGTCACGAAAAGAAAAAAAAATGACTATTTTACATGTGCCTAATTTGTAGCTGTTAGACTTTTTGCTTCGGTTGACAAACCGATGTTTGTAAAACGAGTGTCGTTCGCCTCAGGATATACACATTGACAACTGAAATAAGAATCGATATCCTGAAATCCCAGAAATTAACTGTTTGGTGATATTGTTCCGATCCGCACAGACCTTTTTAAACTAACATTACAATCTCTAATAAATGCTAAGTTTGTATTGAACACAAACAGTAATTTGAAACGTTAGTTTTGCGAGCTTTCGAAAACGTCTGTATCCTTTGTCAAGCAACGAGTGCAACTGACGCAAAATCCCTGAAAACAACCCACTAAGCCACAATGTGCTGGGTAAGTAAAGTTGGCTGTCAGAAAATAGCGTGACAGTTAGCCGAATTGCACTCTTATACTGCAGGCAGTCAGAGGGGCGGGTAATATGTTTGTGTTCAACACAGACTAAACATTTATTATTCATACCAAACTGATGAATCCATAAAAATCTTACTCTATATTATATCATCTCATGCAGCTTTGAAGTTTTGAATACCAGAAATCCCAGAAATTAACTGTTTGGTGAGATTGTTCCGATCCAAACAGACCTTGTTAAACTACAATACAATCTCATGCAGCTTTGAAGTTTTGAATACTTTATCACATAACGTGTTATGCAAGAAAAATGCTTATGTCTTACTTAATTGTGGTTGAAATATGATGTCAGAATAGAGACAATATATTATTAATATCTTATCTTTCAAAATTGCGTCGTTGAAAGATTAGCAATGGTCAGAAGAAACGTGATTATTTTCATGATATTCAAGTGAGGTCTCAGTTTTGGCGATAAAAAGGTCAGTGTTTGGTTTCAATTTTATATGAAATTGATGAAATTCATCTTGATTAGACAAAATCACGCTGAAGCAAAATTTCTAGCTCTTTTCTGAAATTGAAACTCATCAAAGTTGACATTAGCTTGTAACTATGTTAGTTAAGCACTATTATTCAGACCTGTTAATAGTCTAAGATCTTTTACTTAGGTATTGTTCATTGATTTGCCAGGTCGTCGTGTGACGCTAATATGCGTTCCTTCCCGAAGGACCAACATACCTGTGTGTTGATACTCAACAACATGATTCACACCAAAGAGGAGATGAGACTGGTGGCCTCAAGCCCATCTGTCAATATGGACTTTTATGCAAAGAACGGTGAATGGGACGTCATATGGACCAAAGTTTCGGACAAGTTCGATAAATATAAGAAAATAGCGTCAGCCTCATTCATATCCATTACAATTAGTATGGCCCGGAAGTCAGAATACTTTATAATCAACATGCTTATTCCGGTAACGGTGCTGTGTTTAATAGAGTCCCTTGTATTTTTGATCCCCGTGAGCGCTAGCGATAGAATTTCGTTTTCAATGACTCTTTTTCTAGCTCTGGCTGTCTACATGGCTGTCATGGGTGAATTCCTTCCAACGACCTCTGAACCTTTGCCAGGAATGACGTACTTCCTGTTAGCGTCGGTTATACACAGCACCGTGGTGATTTTGATGACTTTAATAACAGTTCGTTTATACGACAGAGAACATCCACCTGACTGGTTGGTTCATTTGTACCAACTAATAGTTAGGAAAAGTAGGAAGAGTAAACAACCGCGGACTGATGAAGACTTAAATGAGAATCTCCCACTTGACAGCGGGAATCGTGAGTCTGTTGTATTAGTGGAAAATAATGGTATGTTGAAACGCTCCTTGCTGAACGCTGTGGACGTTTTCATGTTTGTGATATCATTGTCGAGCATGCTTCTGATGTGTATTGTGTTCTATATAGTGTACCTTCGCCTCGACAAGAACGCACCACATTGACCAGTTTATCCCAGTGTATGCATGGCCTTATGCAATGTGTACCTCTGTCACGTCAAGTATACCGTACAGCTCATTGACCAGTTTACCGCAGTGCTTTGAATTGCACATGTTGTACCTTAGCCAGGACAAGAATACAGTATGGTGTACTACCAGTTTACCAAACTTTGGCAGTAAAAGTACTATCGTTTGAGAGGTTTTACACAGGTTGTACAATTGAAAAAATCTTGTTTTTTGGCAACTTGTCATTATCATCTTAGGGAGGATTTAGTAATATGCCTTGAATTCAAACTTTCATCAGAGAAATAGAATGACACATTTAATATAAAATAAAAGGATTGACAACAAATTTTATTCACATTAATCCTTCGTTTCAAAGTCAACCGTAAACATTTTAAAAAGAAATACGCAAAATCCTTTTGAGAAATATTGTTTCCTATTTTAAGATGTATCTCTATAAGGAACGATTTTTTCGTGAAGTGTAATTTTATTTTCTCGGGAATAGAATATTTTCAGATGTAAAATTCTCAAGAACATGTTTTGACACACCTGCATTATATGTAATATTATAGCATGGTGAATTCACCGCCAAATGGTTTTTTCATATCCGGTCAGAACTTCACTATTTGTACATTATGTACATCGTTAAATGTAACTCTTCACAATCTATTTTCGTCATTTATATCAAATAAAGCGCAGTGAATATTATTCCGCTTCGGGGATAAGATATACATCATGTTATAAAAATGTATTTTGTGCACAGCTGTATATCTTACATGGTGTTAGATTTCGTTTTGGTTGGGAAAGACGACACAACTTGCATTACAAACGCTGTTAACAGTCCAGACACGTGTTCATTCATTTATGTTCGTATTAAAGCGATGGCAATTTATATAAAATCAGGCGACTTGGAAATAAATTTACATAAACTGTATGGTCCATCGAAATATAAGAATAGAGTAAAAAAAACAAAAAACACGACAATTTACTAAAGTGTATTGTATGTCTATATTTAACAATAATTTAACATGGTCTCTCAACTAAGTACAACACACGGGTAGCTTTCGGCGACCTCCTGGTTGCCTTCTTCAGCACTTACTGAGATCAATAGGGGGCTTCAGACTTGTCTGATGATTCAGTCATGTGACATGGGGATTATCCTCAAGTCATGTTACTGATTCAGGCTGGCATATGCTGGCGGTAGGTTGTAGCGCCCTCGTTCTTGATTCAAGTCTAGACTAGTGGCCATGATGACCCCTCTCTGGGATCAACGGGGGTCTTGGTCCAGATCTCTAATGTTGGGAGCCCCAAAAGAGTGTGATCTTCGGCTCATGTGAGCTCTGGCTTTTAGCAAGCCTCTGTGATGTTCTGAGACGCGTTTTCGGTAGGCCCTTTCTGTCTCACCCACATATGCTGCTGGGATCCTACACAGATAATATGGTTTATTGCTCCTGACTTTTCAAGTGTCTTTGTCTTATTTTTGGGAGCCACAATCATGCTACGAATCGTATTTGTAGGTTTAGTGTGTACAGTGACACCAAGCTTTCAGATCTTCCTATTGATCGCCTCAGACATACCGCCCACGTAGGGAATTGTAACATGTCCCTTCACTGGGCGGTTACTTTTCACTGATGGGTGAGTGGTCTTATATCTGCTGCTGTGTTGTTCCCATGCCTACTTGCTGTAACCCGAGAAGTTGAGTACCTGCTTAAGATGGTCTATGGTATGCCCCATAGAAAATGTATCAAAAATAATAAAGGGCTTTTCTTAATAGCAACAATTATCTTTATACGGATTTAATTGCATGTGTTGACGGATCCTTAGATGTGTTACCCGTATGATATAACGTCTGGCTCCCGTGCTTCTGGTGTCGGGTACATGTACATACACTGTATTCTACCGACTCCCAGTGTCACTTTTTAAAAAGCGTTATCTAGTTACACAACCGCATAATGTTAACTTGTTTATGTAGATACCGTAGATGCGATAGGTGAATAGTAATGAGTAATCTCGACTATAGTGCATGTTACAATTTGGCTGATATCTCCACTTCACTTGTAATACGAAAAAGGTCGGGTTTTAAATCTGAAAAGAGTACATGCTTTCTTTTTAAAAAAATCGTCGGAGTCATAAATCAAATGGCTCTAAAAAGTATGTATAAGATATGTATATAGAGAGTAAATATAAAAGTAACGCATGCGTGCGTTTGTGTTGATTATGGAATATATTATGCAAAGAGATAGATAAAATATTGTTATAGAAAAGATAGACGGGTTAACATATTCTATATTTCAAAGGATGTGGACATCCTGATTTATATCATGTTTGTTGATAACTTCGATTTTTTATCACACATTTTACATTTGTAAGGTGTAGATTTTAGTTAACTGAAGACTAACATGTATTCCTTAAGATATATTTTATTTTCAAACAACAGTTACTGGAACAATCAGTCCAGGTTTTGAGCCTGACATTATTTAATGTCTGGTTCACTATGTCTAATACCGTCGGTGATCTACATACGATCCTGGTTTGGACGAAGGAATTTTAGACGTAGGAACGTGCTGTACCGGAAACGCTTCCGGAGTATCTCGTGTAACCTCCGATGTTTTTGTGGGCGGCCATGATGCCTTTCCATTTGGCGTCTCATCAGTTCAAGTTGTTTGTATTTCTGATTTCTGTGCCAGCGCTGTGGTTTATCTGTTACTGTCTTACACATAATGGTGCAGTTTAATGCTGAGTTTGCTTTGGTTTTTGTTTATATATCAAGAAACGTTCATATGTATTTCTAGAACGACTTTTACGCATTAAGGTGGTTGCCCTGTTTTTGTTCTACCCGTTCCAAGGTTGGCCGTGACTTAGTGCAGGATTTTGTTTTGGCACACATTACAAGTAAAATGTTAGTTGTAGAATTAATTATTTGCTGTAGCAAATATGCTGTAAATTTGTGAAGGTTTTAAGAAATTTTCGATTTTTCGTTATTTTGACATTTTTTTATGACACTGACGAGTCCAAAATTGACGGATTGGCCATATGGTGCAATAATCGTTAACTTTGCTTGTTTTACTGCATCGACAAACTATATTTCTAAATAGTAGCTTCCTTTCTTCCTTACTTTGTAGGTTTAGTACTTGTATGACACAATGGCATGCTTTTCTTTTTTTTTTATCTATTAATTTTGCCCACAGAAATGTATTTTGCTATTTTTGATGATTGATCAGATATTACAAAATGGCGATATAATTGGTATGACAGGGTGAATCATGGTTATTTTATTTTTATTTATTACACAGCAAGGGAAAAGTTAAAATTCAATTTTTCTCATGACCAGCGTGAATTTGGAAACTTATTAAATATTCGGCTAGTTTGATAAACAAATCTTACAAAAACAGGTAAAACACTTTTTAAGCCCCATACTTCAACATGTCAACGTCAAAGAAAAACGGAAAACGTATAACTAAAAGTGCTGACAGGGCACCTTCAGTCTGGGTATCGTGTGCGCCCTTTTGCACGAGAATACCATAGACGTTGATATGTTGTAGTATAGGTGTTTAAAAGCAGCATAAAAAGTATAATTGTGCTTACGAGATTGAGTATCAAACTAGCTCAATCTAGAGCCGGTCTAGCCAAATGTTGAATAAGTAACCAACGTCACAATGGTTCTCTCATCGACGGAAAAAAAAAAGATTGTTTTTATCATCTCAATGGCAAAAAAAATGGTTCTTTTGTCCTAAAATATTTACATTCGTATGCTTCGACCCATTGACGAAATTGACATTCATTTTTGCATAACACAGGTGACCTCATCACTGCGTATTGATACACTCAATGACGCAGCACAGGGCGTACTTGGTTCACGTGCGCCGTAATACAGCCCTTGATTTAGACTTGTTATGCTTATATGAATTAACATTTAACATAATTGGCTTGATTTTAAAGCTAAAATAAGGCATGTAAAGTATATGAAAATACTATACGATTTGTATAAATTCTATAAATTAAATTTTGAAAATTGAACTATATTTTGTTTGTTTTGTTGTCATGCTGTTGCCAGGACCCCCCGTGAAAGTTTACATTTTCCCGCGAAAACACGATGTTCCCTCTACTGCGTTGCCCAAATGTATAAATAGAAAACAAATACATGTATTTTTTTATTATGCTTGCATCGGAAAGTTCGAAGCACTGAAAAATGTAAAAACAAATATAAAGAATGCAATTTATTTTTTAACATTCATGAGGTCATAACAACATTGGATTTCTGGATATAACGCGATTCCTGGAATATGTCCAGAAAGCCAATGTTGGTTAGACCTCATGAATGTTGAAAAAATAAATTGCATTCCTTAAAGGTCTTCGAAGATCAGACAGCTCTTTCCATTGCTTCTTGTTCTACTGTCATATACTTTGAGTTCCAAGCAAGGACTTATGTGTTTATACTATGTTGAATATTATTTCTTCACATAATATTAAAGCTATAGTAGCAGCTGGGGAAAGGGACGCAATCCTTGGTCAAATAATAGTAAGCATGTAATAATTTAAATATGATTTTTGTTTGTTTGTTTGATTTTGAATTTAAATATGAAAAGGAAGCAAGTATCTGTCGTCACATATTAACAATCAGTTAATGGTACAACTAGGCAAAGGGAGGCAACTCTTGGTGGTCACATTCAAACAATCCGTAAATGATACATAGGCGAAGAGAAGCAACTGTTGGTCGTCACATAATGATAATGATCACTATGATTAATGTTAACACACTGTGAAGCTGCCAGTTTATCATTTCATGAAACACGCATTGCGTCATTTTGCCTATATTTTGCATTATCTGATCTTTATTAGAATGCTAAGAATGTAAAGTTGATGAATTTTGCTGTGAATGTTACATATTAAGAAGATCTCGGTAAAAACCCAATATACCAAGAAGAATAGTAATCAAGACTAAGATGTTGCGATCTAGATAAAGGTCAAAGAATATATGCGACTAGTGCTGCTTAACGAGCAAACTGTAGTGGTTATGGAGTAGATGTGGTCAGTAATGTAGTGGTCAATGTATAGACGTGATCAGTAGTACGTAACGATCGCATTGCAGTGGTTAGGGAGTAGATGTGGTCAGTAATGTAGTGGTCAATATATAGACGTGATCAGTAGTGCGTAACGGCTCGAATTGTAGTGGTGGTTAGGGAGTAGATGTGGTCAGTAATGTAGTGGTCAATGTATAGACGTGATCAGTAGTGCGTAACGGCTCGAATTGTAGTGGTTGTTAGGGAGTAGATGTGGTCAGTAATGTAGTGTTCAATGTATAGACGTGATCAGTAGTGCGTAACACTCGCATTGCAGTGGTTAGGGAGTAAATGTGGTCAGTAATTTAGTGGTCAGTGTATAGACGTGATCAGTAGTAGGAACGATCGCATTGTAGTTGTTAGGGAGTAGATGTGGTCAGTAATGTAGTGGGCAATATATAGACGTGATCAGTAGTGCGTAACGGCTCGAATTGTAGTGGTTAGGGAGTAGATGTAGTCAGTAATGTAGTGGTCAGTGTATATACGTTATCAGTAGTGCGTAACGGCTCGAATTGTAGTGGTTACGGAGTAGATGTGGTCAGTAATGTAGTGGTCAATGTATAGACGTCATCAGTAGTACGTAACGATCGCATTGCAGTGGTAAGGGAGTAGATGTGGTCAGTAATGTAATGGTCAATGTATAGACGTCATCAGTGGTGCGTAACGGCTCGAATTGTAGTGGTTAGGGAGTAGATGTAGTCAGTAATGTAGTGGTCAATGTATAGACGTGATCAGTAGTGCGTAACGGCTCGAATTGCAGTGGTTAGGGAGTAGATGTGGTCAGCAATGTAGTGGTCAGTGTATAGACGTTATCAGTAGTGCGTAACGGCTCGAATTGTAGTGGTTACGGAGTAGATGTGGTCAGTAATGTAGTGGTCAATATATAGACATGATCAGTAGTGCGTAACGGCTCGAATTGTAGTGGTTACGGAGTAGATGTGGTCAGTAATGTAGTGGTCAATATATAGACATGATCAGTAGTGCGTAACGGCTCGAATTGTAGTGGTTACGGAGTAGATGTGGTCAGTAATGTAGTGGTCAGTAATGTAGTGGTCAGTGTAAAGTCGTTATGAGTAGTGCGTAATGATCGAATTGTAGTGGTTAGGGAGTAGATGTGGTCAGCAATGTAGTGGTCAGTGTATAGACGTTATCAGTAGTGCGTAACGGCTCGAATTGTAGTGGGTTGGGAGTAGATGTGGTCAGTAATGTAGTGGTCAATGTATAGACGTTATCAGTAATACGTAACGGCTCGAATTGTAGTGGTTAGGGAGTAGATGTAGTCAGTAATGTAGTGGTCAGTGTATATACGTTATCAGTAGTGCGTAACGGCTCGAATTGTAGTGGTTAGGGAGTAGATGTGGTCAATAATGTAGTGGTCAGTAATGTAGTGGTCAGTGTAAAGTCGTTATGAGTAGTGCGTAATGATCGAATTGTAGTGGTTAGGGAGTAGATGTGGTCAGCAATGTAGTGGTCAGTGTATAGACGTTATCAGTAGTGCGTAACACTCGCATTGCAGTGGTTAGGGAGTAAATGGGGGCAGTAATGTAGTGGTCAGTGTATAGACGTGATCATTAGTGTGTAACGGCTCGAATTGTAGTGGTTATGGGGTAGATGTGGGCAGTAATGTAGTGGTCAGTGTATAGACGTTATCAGTAGTGCGTAACGGCTCGAATTGCAGTGGTTAGGGAGTAGATGTGGTCAGTAATGTAGTGATCAGTAATGTAGTGGTCAGTGTAAAGACGTTATCAGTAGTGCGTAACGATCGAATTGTAGTGGTTAGGGAGTAGATTTGGTCAGTAATGTAGTGGTCAATTTTTATAGACGTTATCAGTAGTGCGTAACGATCAAAATGTAGTGGTTAGGGAGTAGGTGTTATCATTTATGTAGTGGTCAACGTACAAACGTGATCAATAGTTCGTAATAACTTATTGTAGAGGTCAGGGAATAGGCCTTCCAGAATTTAAGGTATAGAAACACATTTGACTGTAAGCGAATGGTCAGAGAGTACTCATTTTCAGTAATATATTCACTACAAGTACGAAGAAATGGAACAACTATTCGTACGATTTGTTTTTAGGTACTGTAAGACAAACGAAGTTAACATTTTACTGCACCGTATGGTCATCTCGATCATATAGGACTCGGTAGTGGTTCTGAAGATCAAAACGATGACCATTCATATGCAATGTAATGTAGTTGTCAAGGCAAGAAATACACATGACCGGTGGTCTGGGGGTAATAAGACGAAGGACATCGTATAACAAGTTTCCCTAGCTCGCCACCGTCATCTCGTTTGAGTAATTGAACTGTTAGTAATTTAAAAACCTTACTCATATTTATTTGAAGTTACCAGTACTTCTCTTAATTTTGAAATTCATATAATTAAGGGGTTTTATGCACATCCCCTTCTGCGTTTACAGTGGCTTAGACCGATTTGGGTTTCACAACGTTTCGCACCCTAGCATCACCGGAGGGTCATAAAAGGACGAGACAGCTGTATGATGGGTGTCATTCCTTTTCGGAACACTTTATCTATTGCCAGATTGTAAAGTGGCACTCCCATTCGGAACACCTCGCCCCGATTACAGTTCCTTCCAACGTTAGATGACTGAATCGGCCGAGAAGTTCCGAGTGGGGGAACTGCCAGAGAAGTACGGTTTAGGTTCATCTTTTGCAAAGATTATCGACTACATGTACGAATACACACTGCGATATTCAAATCTTAATTAGACATTGTCGATAATCTTTACAATTGTTCTACATAACAACATAAAGCGGGTTATTTTCTTTAGAAATATGGAAATTGTGCTGCCCAATGTCAATAACATTAACGCATAGCTATGAACACACACTTTGAATGAAAGCAAACGTATTTATAGAACAGTTCATTTTGTTGACATAGTGATAAAATCCGAACAATATACCTTTATATTCAAATCATGTGATAATCTTCAAACCCTTTTAACCCCTATGTGGTGAGTGCAAATGTTGCTATGTTAGAGACTGCTTGTTTGAACTATTTTCCTGATTTTTTTAAAAACAGGAAGCTACTACTTTCTATGAAGCATTTAGTAAATAATGTCGATGGAACGATATTTCTATGCTAAAAACTTTGTCAACAATATCTCCGTGAATACTTTGTTCGTAAAATTGTGTTGTTTACACCACTGCCTGTTAAAGGCATGGAAATGTAAATGCATTGGAGGGGATAAGATAAATCCATAGGTCGTACACACAGTATACTATTGACGGTTGAGACTGAAGGCATTGTTCTGTAACATGAGTATAGCAACTTGTTTTTGTACTCGGAGAAACCAAAATGCATTCAATCATAGTAAGTCATAACATTCTGATATGAATACATAAGCTTTTTATTTTTTTGGAGTTGATATCATAGCGCCGGGATAATTTCCAATTTTACAAAAATATTATAAAAATGTCATCATTTTCTAGGGCATATTATATTTTTGATTCTGTTTGGAAAAATTATCTAAGCACTGAAACATGTCTATTATTACAGAAATAGTATGACAAAATTACGGTCTGCAACCGAATCTTATACATCCAGAAGAACAGAATGTTTAGAAAAAAGATCAGTAGATGTCCAGATGTAAATTTCATATATTAGTCGGTCATCAAAAGACACAATGACAGCTAATCTTAATCATAGTATACAGACAAATATCATACTTATAGTAGTTACAGAGTACTGAGATAGTTTATGCTATCTAAGTAAGAAAACAGATTTATGGATGACGAGTGTGATTTCTTCTACGTAATGTGAAGCTTGAAGTTGGAAACCCTGACTTAGTTGTCAATAGCTAACGTTATACAGATATACATTTACTCTGCATCCTTCCGTTGCAATGCCTTGAGAAGGCAATTGTTGTTGTGAGACTATAAAAACATTATCTATTATAATATCATCAATCACTTTTTTGGCGTCATCAATTTCAT